GTGATAAGTCACAAAAAGCATGCACGAAGTTCACAGTCATGTGCACAAGCATATATACCCATTTCCAGTTCCCTCCTCCTTTCTCCTCCCTCAGGAGTCCTGCCCATAAGTTCCTCTGAGCATGAACAGAAAGCTGTCTTGGGACTATTGTGGACTCTTCGAAGGAAAGGGGTTTCAGAGTGTTCAGATATGTTTCAATCTCTTGTTCTGGCATGGTTCCCAGAGAGAAAGTTGCAAGTCAAATGTACTGTTTGGCAAGGTCAGCTATAGCCTGAGAAGCGACCTTTGTTACAGCAGAGCGAAATGTTTCTGATGCTTAGCTGCTGAGAAAAATGATTTTGAGAAGCTTTGAGCCTGCTTTGGTGGGGGGTGACTTCGGCCCTAGGTGAGGTCACCTGTCCTCACCTTCCTTCAGTGTCTGCTTATGTTTGAAGCAGTGATGTCCCTTGTGTGTTTTTCTTTGCTTTATAAGGCCGTGCCACAGGGTTCCCTTGGCCTTGTTGCCTGTGTTTCTTGTGCGTTGAGATGTGGGGAAACAAAATTTTCTGCACCAATCTAAACCTATTTACTGAGCAGTAATTTCTGATGATATTGTCAGGCATTTCCCTCCCACTGGATTTGCACATCTTGAAATGTACTTTGGTTTGCTCGGGGAGAAAATCCTTCCAAAAGGTAGGTTGCAGCAAGTTATGCTATGTTGAGATCAAGACCATTCACGAGGTCGATTTGAGATGTGTCGATCCATGCGGAGGGGAATGTACTTGTATTGACTTCAGTCAGGAGAACCTGCCATCACTTTCATGTCATGGGCTTCGGACTGAGGAACAAGAAACCTCTGGTGTGTATGACAGCCTAATCTTAGCTGAACTGTCATTTCTTCCAGTCCCCATAATGGTTCCTTCATCTGAAACCAAAGCCAGATCACTCCCAGGCTCTAGAGCAGGGGTCTGCAAACTTTTTCTGCAGGGGGCCGGTTCACTGTCCCTCAGACCTTGTGGGGGACTGGACTATATTTTGAAGAAAAATAATGAACGAATTCCTATGACCCACAAATAACCCAGAGATGCATTTTAAATAAAATAACACATTCTACTCATGTAAAAACATGCTGATTCCCGGACCGTCCGTGGGCCGGATATAGAAGGCAATTGGGCCAGATTCGGCCCCCGGGCCTCAGTTTGCCCACCCATGCTCTAGAGTAGCCCTTAATCCCAGCAAACACATTTACATCCCTTTACCTTATCCTGGGGATTCTCCTATTCTAGCCAAACCCCTGGGATTCTTAAGTTTACTTGTGCTATAAGGTACAGCATGGCATAGTGGCATGTGGACCATAGGTGCCAACTCCTAGGGGCTAAGGTCCCTTCAAAAAAATATTGAGGGGGCCATGGTCTCCCAAAGTTGATGGGCATTTTGCAACCCCCAAGCCAAGGAGATAAGTAACTATACAGTGGAATGTTTTGGAAGCCAAACATTGAAAATGAATGCCCCACCTGCAAATGAATGCTTACGTTTTTGAACGTGCCTCAGAAGTCAAACAGCTTCCAAGACATGTTTCTCAATTTCCCCCACTGAACTTGCTGACAGCCCTTTGATCCTCAGTTTTCAAACGTTTCGGAAGTCAAACGGACTTCCAGAATGGATAACATTCGAAAACTGAGGTTCCACTGAACAACCTTTAGAAGAAGTCTGAAGGCAGACCTGTATAGGGAAGTTTAATGTTTAATGTTTTACTATGTTTTTATATACGTTGGAAGCCGCCCAGAGTGAATGCCAATTGCTGGGAAGCATTATTTTCCAGGGACGGATTTACAGACGCCGTCCCGCTTTCTGATTTGACCCCAGAAGGTCCTACTTTTCCTTAAAGGTAAAGGTAAAGGGACCCCTGACCGTTAAGTCCAGTCACGGACGACTCTGGGGTTGTGGTGCTCATCTCGCTTCATTGGCCGAGGGAGCCGGCGTACAGCATGACTAAGCCGCTTCTGGCGAACCAGAGCAGCGCACGGAAACGCCGTTTACCTTCCCGCCGGAGCCGTACCTATTTATCTACTTGCATTCTGACATGCTTTCGAACTGCTAGGTTGGCAGGAGCAGGGACCGAGCAACAAGAGCTCACCCCGTCGCGGGGATTCAAACCGCCGACCTTCTGATCGGCAAGCCCTATTTTCATCGGATAAATTTTGGAGGATATGGAATTATGTGACTCCCAAGCCAAGGAGATAAGTAACTATACAACCCGTAGAAAACATCTGAAGGCAATCGTGTATAGGGAAGTGTTTTTTCAAAAAAAAATTTTTTAAAAAGTTTAATGTTTTACTATGGGTTTTTTTCCATGTTAGAAGCTGCCAAGTGTGGCTGGGGCAACCTAGTCAGATGGGCCGAGTATAAATAATATAACTACTACTACTACTACTACTACTACTACTACTACTATTTAGGACATCCCTATTTTCATCGGAGAAATGTTGGAGGGTATGCTAAGGAACCAAACAAAACTGTACAGAGGAGATAACACTGGAGACAGGACTCCTGTGGCTGGAGTTTCAGGGGTTAACCACCCAGCAAAAAAAAGGGGGGATGTGGATGAAACTAGGCCCCCTCTGTGCTTAGAAAGAGGCCTCTCTGGGATATTTGTCACCGCAGCATTTTGGAGGCAAGGTTTAGTCAGATCTGTTTAAGGGACTCTAATTCTCTCTGGGCTCCAGGGGATTTGCTAGCTTGCTCTGTGATTGGGCCAGAGGGAGGGAAACGACCAGGCCTGAAAGGGGCGAGGATAATGGGACTTGCTGGGTCAGCACTTCTCCTGGCCCAGCGTGTTCCAGGCACAGGGGGAGGGGAGGCGGCATGCGCCCCCCCCCCCGCTCCATAGCACTCCTCACTGTGCTCGATTGTGTGCATCGGGTTTAGAGAGGGACGTTGGCTTAGACCTGTTGTTGAACTCCACCCATGTGGCAAAGAGAACAGAGCGACACAGGGGTGACTCTCTGAGATGCTCTCTCAAGCGCTGCAACTAATATTGGGGCAAATGAGACACAGGCCTGGGGTAAGGATGGGCATCCTTGACGCTTGCAGCGTCTACTATTCCGTTGTTGCTGTTACTAGCATCCCCAAACCCACCAGCAAGTGTCCCTATTTTCCAGGGACAGACCCAAGATTTACAAAAGCCATCCCGGTTTCTGATTTGATCCCAGCATATCCCGCTTTTCCTTAAAGGGGGAACTCCTGACCATTCAGTCCAGTCATGACCGACTCTGGGGTTACGGCACTCATATTGCTTTACTGGCCAAGGGAGCCGGCGTGCAGCTTCCAGATCATGTGGCCAGCATGAATAAGCCGCTTCCAGCGAACAAGAGCAGCGCACGGAAACGCCGTTTACCTTCCCACTGGAGCGGTACCTATTTATCTACTTGCACTGGCCTGCTTTTGAACGGCTAGGTTGGCAGGAGCAGGGACAGAGCAACGGGAGCTCACCCCATCGTGGGGATTCGAACCGCCGACCTTCTGATCAGCAAGTCCTAGGCTCTGTGGTTTAACCCACAGCGCCACTGTGTCCCCGCTTTTCCTTAGGACATCCCTATCTTCATCAGAGAAATGCTGGAGGGCCTGGGAGGATGTCCCTACAGTTGTACTGTACCTTGGCTCTCGAATGCCTTGTGACTCGAATGTTTTGGCTCCTGAATGCCGCAAACCAGGAAGCAAGCATTCCTTTGGAACCGAAACGTCCGGTGCGACTTCTGTGGCTTGCGATTGAGTGCAGGAAGCTCCTGCAGCCAATCGGAAGCCACGACTTGGTTTTCGAACATTTTCGGAAGACAAACAGACTTCCGGAACGGATTCTGTTCGAGAACCAAGGTACGACTGTATTTTCACTGGAGAAATGTTAGAGGGTATGGAATAGTACAAGCCTATTTTCATCGGAGAAATGTTGGAGGGTGTGCAGAGGATGCAGCAAAAGACATTTACTTCTGATCCCAGAAATGTTTTTCTTTTTTTTAAGAACCAGAAAAACCAGAAATCACAGGCCTCCCCACCACCACCACAAAAAATACACACATAGTTGCACCAAGCTTTCTTTGGTAGTATAATTGAGGAGAGAGGGAGGGGTGTCATTTTGTTGCTGCTGTTGTTGAAACAATTGGGAATCATCATACTCCATGCTGATTTACCTATGAATCACCTGGAGATATACCAGTGAACCCAGACCTGTCTTCTGTCAACTTCTAGGCCCAGGGTTTTACATGATGAAATCGGCAAGGGAGTGTAGAATGGATCCTAGCAGCCTTGGTTTCCAGGCCTTTCCTTATCTGCCATGTCCGTCATCTTGGGAACAGAAACCAGAGCACCATGTTCTAGCTCGCTGGACCTTACCCAAAGAGAACCCAAGAATCCTGGTTTCCAGCTCTTGCTTGTGTTAGCCTATGAGACCGCCATACTCTCTAAGCTGGGGCCAGAACCAGTGTTCAGATTCCAGTCCTATCATAGTGCACAGAGCACAGATGATTATATATGGAAGATAGCAGCTGGGTAAAAGTGGCAAAGGAAGCCTTGCTAAGAGGAGGGAATTTTGTATATCTTCAGGTATACAGGACGGCCTCGGTCCTGTATACCTGAAGGAGCGTCTCCACCCCCATCGTTCAGCCCGGAAACTGAGATCCAGCGCCGAGGGCCTTCTGGCGGTTCCCTCATTGCGAGAAGTGAGGTTAGGGGGAACCAGACAGAGGGCCTTCTTGGTAGTGGCGCCCACCCTGTGGAACACCCTCCCTTCAGATATGAAGGAAATAAGTAGCTATCCTATCTTTAAAAGACATCTGAAGGCAGCCCTGTTCGGGGAAGTTTTTAACATTTAACGCTGTCTTGTTTTTAATACTTGATTGGGAGCCGCCCAGAGTGGCTGGGGAAACTCAGCCAGATGGGCGGGGTATAAATAATAAATTATTATTATATTATTATTTTCACATGGGGGTAGCAGCAGGAAGCCGGAGAGGGAAAGGCGTTGCCTTCTATTCGGTGCTGTGTTCCCCATTGCAAGGCGGCTTGGCAGCGGCGGAGACAGAAGAACGAGACATGCTGGCTGCCTCCACGATCTCTATGTCGCGGCAGGTCAGGCAGGCAACCAGCTTCTCCCGCGAAGCGTTGTTGGCAAAGAAGAATTCATAGGAGACACCGGCGAGGACTGCTCCAAGGATGGGGCCGAGCCAGTACACCTGGAAGGAGGGGAGGAGAGCGAGAGCAAAAGAGGCAAGCTAAAGCACCTGTCTCATCCTTGAGGATAGAGAAGTAGGCCCGAAAGGATGAGTTAAAGGGAGGCAGTTTTAAAGTGACTGAATCAACTTGGTGGGATCCCAAGAGAGGCAGGGAATCGCAACACTCAGGGTTTCTAAGCAGCCTTCACAGGAGCCAACTCCTAGGGGCTTGAGGTACTTTCAGCCCCTCCAATAAAATATTTGAGGGGGCCTCCCCCCAAGTTCATGCACATTGCCATTCAAATGGAGTATGTGCGTCGTATCATGTGATCGATTATGTGGGTCAGGGCTTACCTGCCCCCACCAATATTTTATTCAAGTTGGCACCTCAGGCAGTTTTAATAATAATAATAATAATAATAATAATAATAATAATAATAACCAGGAGCACTGAGGGCCAACTAAAATACATTAACTACAATTGTTAACTACAATAACAATTTCTCCCTTTTTTTTGTAAGGCACACAATGTGCTTTTTGTTGTTTTTCTGTTTTGTTTTCTACATGGGTACTACAGTGATACCTCAGGTTAAGTACTTAATACGTTCCAGAGGTCTGTACTTAACCTGAAACTGTTCTTAACCTGAAGCACCACTTTAGCTAATGGGGCCTCCTGCTGCCGCCGCGCCGCCAGAGCACGATTTCTGTTCTCATCCTGAAGCAAAGTTCTTAACCTGAAACACTATTTCTGGGTTAACGGAGTCTGTAACCTGAAGCGTATGTAACCTGAAACGTATGTAACCAGAGGTACCACTGTATTTCCTGTTTCTTCTTTTTGCGTGTGTGTGTGTGTCTTATCTTACTTGGCGCACTTGTAATTCTGTATATTTTTATTTTTCAATAAAGAATATTTTTAAAATGAAAAATAATTACACTAAGCCAGAAAAGCTTGAAGGGAAAAAACTGGAGCACTGAGGGCCAGCTGAAATACATGAAGTCAGAAAAGGGGGAGAACAAAGAACCACTCGCCTCTCAAAAGGCTCTCCTCCATCCACTTACCCAGTGATGTTCCCAGATTCCTGTCACGACAGCTGGTCCCAGGGACCGAGCTGGGTTCATACTGCCTCCGGAGAACGTGCCCTGCAGAGATATTGTAATGGCATAGTCAGTGGTGGTCCATCTCCCTCCTTTGGACTGATTGTTCTGTGCGTTAGTTTGTTGTCATTATCTCAAAAACAACCAAGAGTGTGTCTTGCTGAACATCATCTATTGTTCATAAATGACTTAATATGTGCTAGGTGCTACATAGAAGTAAGTCCCCCTGCCCATAGGGTCTCAAAATCTGTTCCCAACCATTGGCATTAAATTTGCTTCACTCCCGAATTACAGTACTAGTACTAGTAAAGTACTAGTAAAGGTTTCTGCAAACCACAAACACAAAGAAAAACCCTGATTCTTCAGCCAGAACCCCCACATTCTGTGATCTGAATCCATTGTGCAAATATGCATATATTTCCTTACAAACTTTTTCTGTGTGTGCCAGTGTTGGTTTCAGTGTACTTTCTGATTTGTAAGCCCTCCTTTGTGCAGCAGGACTGAACGCAGTGCTGTGTGTGCAGCTGTTAAAATCAATTCCCTGCTTCAGGCCTGAGCTTACTCTTTCTTTATCCAGCCAAGATTGCATGATTCCTTCAATCTCCAGTTTTCAGTCACAATCACTTGGCTGACATGGAAGGGTATAGCCAGCCATACAAAGAATATAAGATTGTTCTTTGGGGGGTACATCAATTACAAAGCCAATGTAGCCAAAGCTTTGCAGATAGAGCATCTTTTAAATTGCACTAGAACCGGACTTCCGGGGTGGCGCCATCGGCAATGGCGGATTCCCTCTGAACTGGAGGGACCAGCTCCACGGGAATCGGGTCTTTTCCGCTACGGCGAAGCGGGGACCCATTCAAAAATCACAGGCGGATGAAGCCTGTGACCATGGGACTCGGCGGGCACCCTTAGCGCCCCCCCAACCCGCAAAAGAACCCATTAACGGGCTCCGGAGCGAAGAGGGGGAAGTGGCGCGGTGCTGAGAGTCAACTGCTTCTTCCGTGGAGCGAAGCCGCACAGCCGTTGCCGGAGAGCGCTGCCTTTTCCTGGGACAATCTGGCTTCTAAAATAATCACCCGTGAGTACCTAAACTCGGACAATTGGATTCTAAATAAGGACTTGTGAGCAGAAAGGAAAATTGGACTTAAAAGTTTACCTTAATTTGGCGCTGAAACGGGAAGGTCTAAACAGGAAGTCAGCCTTCCGTTTCTTTGTAGATACATTAAAGCAAAGACATGGCAAACTAGAGCTCAGAAAATCGCCTGTAAAAGATTAACTTTCATCATTTAAAATTGTTGAACCCTCTTCGGAAGCAGGAGAAGAGGGGGATTTTTCGGACTGTTTAAACCTGCAGAAGTGAGGGTAAAGTAAAGTAACTTTCCACCGTCCTGATCCTGGAGCGGGGTGTTAGGACTGACGTTTTTTGAAGCTCATTGACCAGAGACAACGTTTTTGACAGATAGCTATAAGAAGAGAAACTTTGACTCCATTGTTCCCCTTCGCTTCTTAAAGGAACAAATATTGACAAAATATCTGAAAAAGGAAACTTTTGTTGCTAGACTTGTCTTTAAAAGAAAGAACAAATAGAAGTTTTCCCCTAGAGGGAGACTGTGAAACTGTAACCAACTCCGGGAGCTGGCAGCTGTTACAGATTACAATCGTGGGAATAGACATCTGACCTTGCAGGACAATGTATTCAGAAGCTCTGTTGTGTGCTTTCTATAAAACAAATGCCCTACTGGAACAGCTACATGAGAAGACGAATTTAATGGCTGATTCGATTAGAAATTTTGAACAGGCAGTGGGAAATTTTGAACAGGCAGTGGGAAAATATGTGGAGCCCACCCAGGAATTAAATCAGGAGTGTGCCCTGACAGAACAGGCCCAACAGGAACATGAGCTTTCGGATTTGACAAATGAACTTGGAAAAAGCCAGATTTGGAAAGAAAAAGTTTGGTTTGGTTTGGAAATGGGGGGCTGGATAGACCCCCCTATGCAGGGATGTTTGGACTTTTCAAGTCTGGCAATGGGCCATGAGATGTCTGGGATTGTGAGGGCTCCTCATTTTGGAGGGATTTTGAAACATGTTCTTAAATACCACATGGAATTGAGTGTGGATTATGGAAAAGGGGCTGATCTGTCGAGAAGGGTCAAAAATATTGTTAAGCTGGAGTTCCCACGAGTGAAACGAGCAGGAGACAAGGGAAAATACAGTTACAAATATGAAGAAGAGCTGCGGAAGGGACATGGAAGAGACTTAAGGGCCTCGGATATAAGGTTACCAGGTTAATGCGCTAGATCGATGGGATAATAAGGACTGACAAAACCCGGGACCAGGAGGAAGGGACGCTGGGTGAAGATTGGATTGTTTTTATTTCTTTTTCTACTACTAGGATTGTTTTATAAAATTGATGAATGTTAGAAAAATGTTGGAATGAAATTACTTGGCTTTAGTAAAAATGTTTAAAGAATTATGTAAGAATATTATGGTTATGAGAAGCTGGTAAAAATAAGATTTAAGTTTTAAGTTTCAAGGTTTTTTATAGTAAGATAAGATTAAAATAGTTTAAAGTAATGTAATGACAGAATTTTATGAAATATGGAAAGGATTTGCTGCAACAATTAATAACTAGGATACAAAAAAAGGGAGGAGGAGGAGGTCAAAGAAAGAAGGTAATGACAGTTGAGGATTTGAGAATAATGGATTTGTTTTTAAATGTTTGCGGTGTATTTTTGGGGGTTTTTTTGAATTTGTGGTGTTGGATGTGGTTTGTGTTTTTCTTTGTTTTTTCTTTGTTCTTTTTCTACTTTGTTTTCTTTTGTAACTCTAAAAAAAAAAAAAATTCCAATAAATATCATTTAAAATAATAATAATAAATAAATTGCACTAGAACCTCTACTTACGACCGCCTCTACTTGAGCACAATCCAAGTCGCGACCGTGGCAAACCCAGAAGTAAATACCAGGTTTGCCGTGACTCGTGCATGCACAGAAGTGGCTGCTGCCGTCTGCACATGCGCACAACGGCACTTCTATCAGCGAACCATTTCGCCTAAAGGACGGACTGCTGGAACAGATTATGGTGGTAAGTAGAGGTTCCACTGTATATATATTGTTTTCTGAAGTCATGAGGACTAGGATATTGCTCTGTTTAAGTACAGTGGTATCTTGGTTGTCGAATGGCTTGGCTCTCAAAAAAATCAGCTCCTGAACGCTGCAAACCTGGAAGTGAGTGTTCCGGTTTGCGAACGTTTTTTGAAAGCCGAACTTCCAACGCGGCTTCTGCGGCTTCCAATGGAGTGCAGGAAGCTCCTGCAGCCAATCAGAAGCTGTGCCTTGGTTTTCGAATGGTTCCAAACAGACTCCCGGAATGGATTAAGTTCAACAGCCAAGGTGCCACTGTAATTCAACCTGACATTCCATGCGTCTTATGAAACAGTAGAAGGGATGCTATCATCTGAAACACCAGGGGAAGTGGGGGAATGACGTTAAAAATCAGCCTTCAGTCGTGGGCAACTTGTGATGCTGGCCCCAGGCTTCTAGCAACAAAACCTTCAATCAATCTGGACTTTATAAACCACAAGCAAAGGCTCTTACCGCAGCTAGTGCTCCTGCAATTACAGAGAAGCCAATGGCCAAGATTCCAGGCTCACCCAACTCACGCCTCCGATGGTCTTCTACAGCAAAGATGGTTAGAGCTAGCTGGAAAGTGGAAAAGGCTTCCATTCCCAAGGCCTGTCCAGCGTTTCCTTCGCTGCTGACCTGAAATATTGCAGTTCGAACTGTTTTTATGTTGAAAGTGTTAGTACACTGCGTAATGTCTTCAACCAGCTGGTCTTCCTGCTGCTCTCAGCATGTGAGTGGACTTGATCAGCTCTGAGGAACCCCTCCCCCCAAATTCTATGACTTCATTTAAAACCAATTCTATATGCGCCACTGTTCGACCCCAGCATGTTCCTGGCAGCTGGGTAATCTTTGCATGTGTTTAAAACCTTCATTGGGGGAGAAGGTTGGGGAGAATACTTTTTGCATTCACGATGCGGAGTCCAAATAACAACATAAAAAAACACAAAGCAGACAGAGTGCATTTCTTTTAAAACTGTCACAAATGGAGGATAATATTATAAGTCACGTTACCAATATGGTAACTTCTGCTATCTTAGTTCTGCATCTGAGACAACTTCGAGATGGCTACTATTTACCTACGGGACCGCCTCTCCCGGTATGCCCCACGGAGAGCCTCAAGGTCCATAAATAGCAACACCCTTGAGGTCCCGGGCCCTAAGGAAGTCAGATTAGCTTCAACCAGAGCCAGGGCCTTTTCAACACTGGCTCCGGCCTGGTGGAACGCTCTGTCTCATGAGACCAGGGCCCTGCAGGATCTGATTTCTTTCCGCAGGACCGGTAAGACAGAGTTGTTCCGCCGGCCTTTTGCTTGGAGCCAGTTTGATTCCCTCCCTCTCTGTTTTCTTTTCCTTTCCCCTCTTGCATTTTAATGTTTTAAGGTTGTATTTTAATCTTGTTTTTAAGTTGTATTCATTCAACTTCTTTTTATTATTGCTTGTTAGCCGCCCTGAGCCCGGCCTTGGCTGGGGAGGGCGGGGTATAAATAATAATAATAATAATTATTATTATTATTTATCGCCACATAACTATTTACTTGGGCATTGTCTCCTTTGCAGCTATACACATGCATAGCTAAAAGACAAGAGAAAATACATTTAAAAAAATATATATATATGGATTTAATGTCTGTAATGGTGTGAAACGAAGTGGCTTTTGACGTTGGTTGGTGGGAAAGAAAATCCAAAAGGACCTGTTGTTTCAAGAGATAGTTTGAGACAAGAACTGGGCAGTTGGCAGAAAAAGGGGTCACTTGTAGCCTAAGTGGGCAGTGGGCTGCTGGCATGTGGTCAGCAAGTCAACAGCTAAAGGCAGGGAGTGGCAAAGTTGGAGCATGAGGAAAGCAATGGTCCCATGCAGCCAGCAAGGCTTCCAATTTGCTCAGAACAGCCACCAGCGCTTCCTTGGAAGCTCTTCTAGAATCATCTACTTGTTGGTACCAGGTAGTTCCTTGGCTGTAGTTCCCTTCATTGCCCAGAGAGGGATGAAGACACTCAGCTGGACTCCCATTGTAACATTTCTAACGTCACCCATTTAAATTCAAGACCCGCCACAGGCCCAGACTGTCAAGAGTCCAGGTTCTCAGCTTGATAACACAGTAAGCGTAGGTAATTAAAATGGAGGATTTTTTGCAAAAACAAACAGATAGCTCCGGACGACTCTAACAAAGCCTCTGGCATTATTACTCAAGGTGACCCTTCTGAAAACTTCTGGTGGCGACAGAAGATATTGAATTTACGACCCTTACGTCTCTTGTTTTGCTTCCTGTCTAGCAGCCCTCCCATTCACTGACTCTTCGGACTTAGTGGATCAGCTCCAACCTCTTCCTTTTTTGAGAGGCTGTCTCTATTTGCGCCTTTTTGTACTTCCTGCGAGCTTTGGCTGTGTTCTAGCCTGCTCTCAGCTACTGCCTTATCAACCAAATCGTCAAGGTCACGAAGAGCCGAAGTCTGCAGCTGCCGGATCTCCTCTGCCTAACATCTAAGCTTCTCTGCTCCTGGCTGCTTTCAGCAGTTGGCTGTAAACCTTCGCTTGGAGCTGGCTCATTCCTGACACAGACCCTCTAAGTGTCCCTATTTCCTAAGGACAGTCCCAGATTTACAGAAGTCATCCCAGTTTCTTATTTGATCCTGGAATGTCCTGCTTTTCTTAGGATGTTCCTTTTTTCCCCCTTGGGTAAATCTTATTTATTGATTTTTCACACAAAAAATAACAATTGTAAATTACTTTATCCATTGCGTCCTCATTTTTTGCTCTTCCAAATATGGCTACTCTATTTTATTTCTATTCCTGGCTAAAGTGGGCAGAGTTAAAGTTGAGAGGCAGATGCCTCATGGGGAGGGAGTCCTAAAGAAGGAGGGAGAAAGGAGTGTAGCTTACTCACCTTGGTGACCAATTGCCCCACAGCTGAGGTGGGCAACACAAGGTAGAAGACACCTGAAGCTAAGATGGCACCCAAGCACTGGGCCAGGATATAGCTTGCTGCGTGAAGAGCGTCCAGTTTGCGGGTGCAGAGGAAGGCCACCGTGAGCGCCGGGTTGACTTGGGCACCGCTGATGTCGCCAAAGCAGTGAGCCAAGCTGACAGCTACCAGCCCTGCAGCAAGGGCTGGCTGAAGTGGGGAAGGAAGCACCTCTTTGGGGCTCACAGGGGATGAGGCGCCCAGCACCACCCAAACGAAGATCAGGGTGCCTCCTGCCTCTGCCAGCAGGCGGCACCAGAACTGGCGGCTCTGCAGTTCCTGGAGTTGAGGGAAGAAGGAAGAGTCAAGGGACGTTATCACCTGCAGATGGACACAGAAGACTCTGCTTGTTCCAGGAATGGGCCACTACAACCATCTGAACTGCTAATGCAAGCCATTCTCTACATGCTCTCCACCGTGGGAGCAGGGCTGGGGCGGGAGAGTGCTAGAGTTCTGTCTAGTCCTGTTACATGGGATCAATTCCAATCTGTTACCTCCAAGGATGTGGACCACCTGTCTCCTTGATCCTTGCCCATCCTGGCTTATAAAAGCTAGCTGGGAAGAGCTGGGCGATGGGCTTCGCGGGGTGGTGAATGCTTCTCTCTGTGAGGGAGCCTTCCCAGACCCAGGCGATTATCAAACCGCTTCTTAAAAAACCATCTTTAGATGCTGCCAATATGGCCAACTATCGCCCAGTCTCAAATCTTCCATTCTTGGGCAAGGTGATTGAGCAAGTGGTTGCTGAACAACTCCAGGCACATCTGGAATAAGTGGACCATTTGGATCCCTTCCAGTCGGGATTCAGGCCTCATCATGGGACTGAAACTGCCTTGGTCGCACTGGTTGATGATCTCCGGCGGGCCAGGGACAAAGGTGAGAGCTTCTTTCCTAGTTCTGCTGGATCTCTCAGCGGCTTTTGACACCATCGACCATAACATCCTTCTGGACCTTTCTCTAAAACCCCCAACTGGCAGAGGATTGATCCTGGGGAGTAAATATGTAGGCTCAGCCCCATGTCTACTGAACCACCAGAATAAATATGGTAAGAGAAATCAAGCACTAAGATAACGGAGGCCAGCATGGTGTTGTGGTCAGTGTCAAATGGAACCAAGGAGACCTTGGGTTTAACTCCTCACCTGGCCATGAAGTTCACTGAGTGATCCTTGGGTCAGTAACTCTCTCTCTCAGTCTGACTAACCTACCTCAAGGGTTACTGTGAAGATGAAATTGATGGTACAAGAGGGAGGGGATACTCTGAGCTCCTTGTGTTGCTGGCAGCATAGAAATATAATTAAACGGCATCTCAGTGAGGGATCCATTGATCTCATGCACTGCGGAAACACAGTATGTGCAAATATAACCTAAGAATCACGGCTTAGTGAGAACAAGGGACCATTCAGGAGTCCCACCAGTGGCCAAACAATGTCAAAGGGTGTTCACAAAAGAACGCTTTTTGGTGGCATAGCCATCCCATAGTTGTCGCCAGTATCTGGCAGTCAAAGGTATATTGACTTTGAAAACACAACCTGTGCTCTATTGGCCAACAGAATTAGGAATCTCCCCCTCCAACCCCTTATGCACACCATGGTGTTTGTTCTGCGAATGCCTGATTATCGTCTTCCAAAGCAACTACTCTACTCCAAACTTAAAAATGGAAAGCGTAATTGTGCTGGTCCTGTGGGTTTCCGTGAGGCAAGGTCCGAGTCCAGTCCGAGGTTGAGGGTGCAGTATTGAGGTCATCCATCAAAGATGAAGCTGGGTCCAAAGCAGGGAGTCGGGTGAGGTCAGAAAATCCGGCAGGACAGGGTTCAGGCAGGAAATGGCTACCAACAACGTTGCTCCCGCAACTTGGGCCTGGGGCTGGCTGACTTTTATCTGCCCCGAGGCATAGGGTGGCCCCAGTCCACAGGTGACTCGCCTCTCCTGGCCCGGAGGTGAGCACTCCTCCTGCAGGAACTTAGTTCCCTCCGCCTCTCTGTCCTGAGCCTCTGCAGCTCAGGAGAGGCTGGAGGGTTACCGGACCCAGAGGCAACCTCAGCTTCCTCTGACGGGGCTGAGAGTGGAGCACCTGCAGGCAATGGGTCCTCCATCACCTCAGGAGCCAGAGCAGACTCAGCTGGTGCCTGCACCTGAGGATCCAGCACAGGTGAGGACCCTTCAGGCTCAAGCCCCAGCCCCGGCTCAGCTGGAGGCGGGGAATCCTGTGCAGGCTGGGATTCCTCAGGTTCAGCCTCCGAGTCCAAATCCCAGGCCATCACAGTAATGCTGGTGGTCAGCAAAAGAGGTTCAAAGACTCTCTCAAGGAAAATCTTTTTAAAATGTAGTCTAAACACTAACAACTGGGAACACTGGCCTGTGAGCGCTCCAGTTGGAGAACAGCCTTTACCAAAGGTGTCATGGGTTTTGAAGATGCTCAAACTCAGGATGAAAGGGAGAAAGGCGCTAAGAGGAAGGCATGCTTGGCAAACCCTCACCATGATCAACTCCCACCTGGAAACGTATGTCCCCACTGTGAAAGGATGCGTGGATCCAGAATTGGCCTCCACAGTCACTTACGGACTCACTTTTAAAACTGTGTTTATGGAAGACAATCTTACTCGGCCACAAGTGATCACCAAAGAAGAAGAAAGATGCATGTAGCCTTTTGTGTGTTACGCAAGAAAACAACAACGAAAGAATTGGCATCACAAACTGGAATGACACACAAGGTTTTCAGTCAATTTAAGTCACAATAACAGGCTATCAAATCCATCTAGCTATCCTATTGGTCTTCAGCTAGTGACTCAGAACTTGATTTAAGGGACACCAGTGTGGGGCACCTGATTTTTAAAAACATCCCTTGACAAAAATGATTCCGTACCTTCCGTCGGGTACAGTATCTGCTAGCTACTTCAAACATTTCTTTTCCGATTCTGAACTTATACTGGCCCTGAGGAAAATATGCTGTCTGCATTGTTAAGTCTACTGTTTGTTAGCAGCCATGGTCTCTGTTTTGGATTTGGCAAACGTTTTCAAAGTAGCCAGATGAACTGAAGCAAAAAATGTGTTGAGGGATCAGAAAAGGTGAAAAGGACAGAACCTACTGACAGAAATGACTGATCAAGTGTATAGATGGACACGTAGATGGATTGTTACAGGGGGAAACAGGTGGACGTCAACTACACAATAGGAAGGGAGTTGTGGGTGAACTCTATCAAAATAAATCCAATTTGGCTGCCTCCTATATTCACAGAAGGATGTTCTTACCTCCCTGATGCCCATGGTGTCTGGCTGCAAATTCTGATCTGAGTGAGGGAAGGTGCTTTGTTGTTTTCATCTAGCGGCCCACCTTTCTCCCACATCCTCCTTCCCTCCCTCCCTTCACCCTCCCCTGTTAGCATCCTATTAAGGATGAAGCAGAATCAATCCAGAGGAAGATGAAGGGAGGTTATCAAGGAACAGCCAAATGATCTGAAGTAGAATTTGGTGCTGGAGTTCACGAGATGTTCCAAGAAGTCTCTAAAGCCCATTATTCATAGTAAGTGTCCTCAACTCATGATACTTCGTCATAACACAGTTTCTTACAATGCCCTTGACACAGCCCTGCTGGGTTTGGTCAGCTAACATCCTACTATCAGCATTGTCCTTCCCTGTCCAGGGTCTGAGGGGAAGGGAGTAAAGGGGGAAATCTTTAGGGAGGGAAAAGACAAAATATGTTGTTGTTTTTTAATGCTTTAATGTGTGTGTGTGTGTGTGTGTGTGTGTGTGTGTGTGTGTGTTGGGAATCTCTGGGTTGACACTGAAGATGTCAAGGCAACAGGTTCCTTTGAAGCTCATCTGAAGAGAGTTGTCACAGTTACCATTGCCCCAGGCTGGAACTCATTTCTGTATGATCAAAGATGGATAGCACACATTTCAATGAATTTAAATATGAAACAGGCAATAGATGTGTTTTCCCCCTCCCCCAAAGAGAGATCATGCAGTTAAATGTGATGCTGACTTTTCCATTGCTGAGAGTGAGCACAAGAGTGGTAGCTGAATATGCACAGAAATAAGTTCAAATTTGCATCCTAGTGGGCATGAATCTGTAGGTAATGTTTTGCAGGACCAAGTAGGACACATGCCATGCTCAGGCCCAGTCTGGATTGATCCCCAGTCTGGATTGATCCCCAGTTCCTTTGCAGTGTGAGAGAGGAGGAAGGAAGAGATTATGAAGCCAATGCAGAAAACTCAGTTTGCATGCCTGGAACAGCAACGTTTTGTGTCACAACATTCTTGTTTTGTCTGGGACAGTTCCTCTTGCATCTACTTCCAAGAATGCAGCAATAGTGTGTGCCCTATAAATGTTGTTGTTGTTGTTGTTCATAACTCATTTTCTTTACCCAAGGCAAACCCAAAGTGACAAGCAAAAACAGCAAGGCACAATAAAGGCAACATGAAGGACAACATGCAACACTGCCACCAAGGAAACAGCTACCCACCTTTTTAGCAAGGAACAAAAGGCATGATAACCAGCAGCAAAAGCCATGCCAGTGACAAAGCCACCTAAGCAAAGACTTTTGGGAAAAGCCTGGTTACGAGTTCTGAATTGGTAGAATGAACTGTATCACTTCCGAGTGATAATTTTTTAGTGGAAACAGATGCATTGCAAACAGAAGACCAGCACAGCACAGATATGGCATCGAACAGTAGGTTTTCCTTGCTTTTTCCCGCCCACCCTCCCAGCTTGTAGAGCTATAGTAGGAAACTGATTTGGGTGTGGTAGAATGGATGACATCGGACAAAGTTGCCCCTGAAAAAAGAGTGATAGGACACAATAATCATTCTCAATAGTTCTTTTGAGGTTTCCTCTGTCTTTGCTTTTATATTGCTTGAGGGCTACAGGATAAGGTAATATTCTTGTAAGCGTTCCATGTGTGCCTGGTCACATTTAAATGAATTAACCTTATTTATGTACGTACATACATACATACATACATACATATATACCCCGCCCATCTGGCTGGGTTTCTCCTGCTTCTCTGGGCAGCTCCCAGCAGAATATTATTAATAGTAATAATAAAGTGATAAAACATCAAACATTAAAAACTTCCCTAAACAGGGCTGCCTTCAGATGTCTTCTAAAAGTCAGATAGTTGTTTATTTCCTTGACATCTGATGGGAGGATGTTCCATAGGGCGGGCGCCACTACCGAGAAGGCCCTCTGCTTGGTTCTCTGTAGCTTCAATTCTCGCAGTGAGGGAACTGCCAGAAGGCCCTCGGAGGTGGACCTCAGTGTCCAGGCTGAAAGATGGAGGTGGAGACGCTCCTTCAGGTTTACTAGGCCAAGGCCATTTAGGGATTTAAAGGTCAGTACCAACACTTTGAATTTTGCTTGGAAACGTACTGGGAGCCAATGCAGGTCTTTCAGGACCGGTGTTATATAGTGTCAGCGGCCACTCCAAGTCACCAGTCTAGCTGCTGCATTCTGAATTAGTTGTAGTTTCTGGGTCACCTTCAAAGGTAGCCCCACGTAGAGCGCATGGCAGTAGTCCAAGCGGGAGATAACCAGAGCATGCACCACTCTGGCAAGACAGTCTGCAGGCAGATAGGGTCTCAGCCTGTGTACCAGATGGAGCTGGTAGACAGCTGCCCTGGACACAGAATTAACCTGTGCCTCCAATGGATAGCTGTGAGTCCAAAATGACTCCCAGGCTGCGCACCTGGTCCTTCAGGGGCACAGTTACCCCATTCAGGACCATGGATGCCAGCCCATTAATGTCACACCAAGCAATCGATGGCCCTGGTGAATGGGCTGCTAGCATGCTCACAGTACTGTACACAAATCCACGCCTTACATTGAAAACACTCTTGGGAACTGTGTAAAGGGTGTTGGGACGTTTAACTCAATTACATTTCCCAAGATTCCCTGGGGAGCCATGGCTGTTAAAGTGGTGCAAAGGTGCTTTAAATGTTCAGATGTGATGCTTAGCACATGTAGCAAGGACATTTAAACTTCATAAAGTGTCCCAAAGAAAGTGATTGGAACATTTCCACCCCACTCCTGATGCAGAGAGCAGAAACACCTTTGGTCACAGGAGACTCGCCTGTTGTGTCTCTGCAGGAGTCACTGCTTTGGATAAGCCCTGTTCCAATGACACGCAGGAACACAAGGGGATCAGCTGCTTTGAGGGTGTATAAACGCTAACTCTTAACATGCTCTAAAACCCAACCTTTCAGATGTAAAAAGTGAAGCGCGCCTCCGATTTTAATTTAGCAGAAAACACATCTCAGCTTTCAGAAGTCACTACTCGGCTTCCTCCGTTCCTAACACCAGAATGTGTGCTTTAGTACTGAAGGGAGACCATTGCGGGGTTTAGGAAGTGGTCTGGGTGGTTACTTCAAATCTACTGCGTGCCATGTGTTGACAACTCAGTAGAATCCCTCTCCTGGTTTCTGTAAAGTCAGCACCTGGCTCAGCAAAAGCAAGGCCTTCTGTTGACCTCTCGCTGGCATATGCTTTCTCTCTCTCGCTCTATTCATCTCTCTTTTCTTTGGCCACCGCTTGCTGACTTGCTGCAAAGAGCCAGAACAATCCTGTCAATGAAAAGGTGGGAACAAAGGCCACCTCCCTACAGCCTGCAGCGTTCATATGTCCCTGTCACATTTAATTAGCGTCCAGCAGAGTCTTTGGGGTCGAAAGATTGGAAACATAACAATATGGCAGCCATTTCGAAGCAGGCAATGGAGAGCAGGAACAGATCCCTGTCTTCTGCCCAAAACTGGAAGGCTTGAATAATCAGCTTCAACTTGAAATCTACAGGGGGATCTTTTCAAACTAGGGCACTGAACACCAATGGGGGCGTACGGTGTGCAAAATGTTTCTGATAATTGGTGTACAAATATTCAAACCCTAAGAGTTTCTCAAATCTTAGTTCCCTCTGATCTCTTGACCCAAGTCTCCTGCTTTAATCTCTTTGTTGTTAATGGCATGGTTTTATTGTATATTTTAATTATAGATGTTTATATTTTAAAATTTTGTTGGCTGGTTTTTATATTTTGTAAACTGCTTAGAAGCCTATTTTGACATTAAGAGGTATATAAATACCAATAGGTTCTTGTAGCAGTGGCATCACCATCATCCATATCTCACATACCTGTTTTTCAAGGTAGTGATGCTTATGTTTTCAAAAAGGCTTCAGGTTGTACAGCGAAGGAGACACATCTGTAAATGACCACTGAGACAACCACTATATATAAAGCAACATGGAAATCTGATGTCCAGCATGACTGACTTCCTGGACAAATTATAATTACTGTAGTGCAATGCATCCCACAATCCTTTGCAAAGACACAGAGGATTCTAGGTGGCAACAACAACAAAACACTATCCCTTGAGCCATCCTTGCTTTGGGGATAAGAAATAAACTAGGCAAATTGGGACTGGAAAGGCTGTAGAAGGGATTTGCAATCAGATCCCACTGACGTGGGCTTAATTGTTCTTAAACATGCAATAAATGATTGGATGTTAAACTAGCTCAGGGAGCTGATATGTGCCCAAACTCAACAAATTTTAATGGAGATGCACAATTTTAATGGAAGTTGATGCAACAGAAAACTATGTGCAATTCCATATCCCCTTGCCCGGAATAGTGATGTATGGACAACACTGGTATTGTAAAGGATTTTCTACTCAAACTATTTCTGCCCATGATAGCAGGACTAAATTGTTCTCCATTCCTGCTCTATGCACTTCATTTTCCCATGCAGCCCAGGGAAACGGCAATAAACTGCTGAATCTTTTAACAATACGGTAACTTAATACCAATGGTGAACTACTCACTGCTAGAACCACCACCATAAGCCCATCAAAAACTCTCAGTGCTACTGTACATTTGTCACTGAAATCCAAGGAGGAAGAAAAAAACCTGTGTTGTTTGTTGTTGTTTTTTGTATCATTTTATTATGTCCTATTCCTATGGGGCTGAATTTCCACTGGTGCCAAACGACTGTCTTAATTCACCTGCAAACATAGTGATTCTGTCAGGTTAAACACAAGCAGTTTGCAAAAGTGACATGGAATTTGGAGTGTGTTTTTTCAAACCTTTTTAAACTTTTGCAGTTAACTGAACCAACCTACACACACACGCACACACACTATTAAGTTTATAAAAGGGATGCGGGTGGCGCTGTGGTCTAAACCACTGAGCCTCTTGGGCTTGCCGATCAGGTCAGTGGTTCGAATCCCCGCAACGGGGTGAGCTCCCGTTGTTCAGTCCCAGCTCCTGCCGACCTAGCAGTTCGAAAGCACACCAGTGCAAGTAGATAAATAGATACCGCTGCGGTGGGAAGGTAAATGGTGTTTCCATGCGTTCTGGCTTCCGTCACGGTGTCCTGTTGCGCCAGAAGCGGTTTAGCCATGCTAAAGCTCTGGCTCAAAACATTAAACATAAAACAAAGCAGGCCTGTTTACACAACCACAAGTAGTTTTTATAGGCTCATATTCCTTTTTAGATGTGTTGCCACAGGCCTGAAATAGTCATGCAGAGTTCTCTGCCCAGATTTACAAATAATTTCAGAGGGGCCACCCTGTTAGGCTGCAATAGATTGTAATGGATTGCTCTGGAGTCACTTCAGCACCAGAGAGGATGGGAATTGTATTTTGCCAGGACAAAGGCTGCAACCGTACACCTATAGCGAAGTTTAAGAGCAGATAGAAATCACAATACATAAAGTTCTTCCCAGATGCACTTGTTAGCGAAGTAGGTTAACTAGGCTTCCCATACGTCAAGAAAAATCCTGACACGTCCTGGGTTTTGGGTGTAAAAACGGCGTCAGGAGGAAAATTTGCCAAACCGTCAAAATGTCAGGGAAAACCCAGATGTGTGGCAGCGCTAACAGCTTCAAAAGCTTAAAATCAGATGGAATATGTGCAGCTTGCGGAATTAACATATAGGATAAGAGAACAAGAACATATGTTGAGAGAAGACTGGAAAATGTTTATCGAACATAAGAGGGGAAATTGTGTATGCTTGGAAACGTTGGCAGCATTAAGATAAATTCAACAGTGTAAATCAGTTTTGATGGATGTAATAATGGAATACTGAATGCTTTAGTTTATGTAAAATATGCAGGAATTTATGATATGTAAAATGAACCATGAAAAGAGAAGAAGGGAAGTCATGGATATTTTAAGGACGTTTACATGAGTATTCTAAATTGTAAAACAGAAAATTTAATAAAAATTGTATATATATAAAAACAAAAGCTTAAAACCACTATTTTCTGGGGCGGGGGGAGATTTCTAACCCCCCCAAAAAAACCCTCAACAATTTGGGTTCGTTCCCAAAAGAATCTCAACAATTTATTTTCTCTAGCCCACAACCACGCACTACCCCTCTAACAGGAACAAAATGACGGCCTCGCCGGCCTTCCCTCCGCTTCAAGATGGCGCCGGCGGCGTCAGAAAGCGCCGCGCCCTATGAGAAGATGGCGACCCTGAAGCTCGGCTCTCCCGGACCAATAGCGACAGCTTGGCTTTAAGATGGCGGGAGAGATCCGCAGCCGGGGCGGGCGTTGCCCTCCTCCAAGATGGCGGCCGCAGCAGCCTTAAAGAGCAATCGCGCAGGCGCCGTCCACGCGTGGTTGAGCAGTGCCCTTTCCAAAATGGCGGCGCCCATGCTGAGGGGCGTGAAGCAGCGAGGCTGGAGCCTGTGTGTCGCGGGGCGCCGTTTAGGGGGAGAAGCGCCCCGGAGAGGTACTTGCGGTTATACCCAATGGCGGCTCTGCGCTGCTTACGAATGTTTCTTTCCTCGGGCACGATGACACCGTGTTTAGGGTTGCTCGTCATCCTTCCCCTGGGCTATGATAGCTGAGGTAGAAATTCAGCAGGCAGAGGGCTCCGCACCGTCACATCGAGCAAACCTGCACCTGTTGAACTTCTGCCTGCTACGATGCTCTTAAACGCGCAGGACCTCTGCCGAGTCGACTCTTTTGCACCTTTACCAATTAAGGGTCCTTGAGTCGCTCGCGTTAAGTAGCTGCTGCTGCTGCTAATAATAATAATAATAATAATAATAATAGTTAATATAGCAGTACCATTATTTGCTAATGAGTAGCAAAGCCCTTCATAAAGAGGCGGGATACTTCGAGGGCCTCAGAACATCTGATTTTTGGCCAGCAAAATGAGTTTAACATGGCGTGTGTGTGTTGTTGCAACTTTTATAGAATATTGTACGCAACCTGCTTTAAAATTATTATTATTATTATTATGTGGTGTATAAGTGCTATAAATAAATCAGCTTAGCTTAGACTCGAAGTTGAATATAATATGTACTGTAGCAGTCATGGAGGTGCAGGGGGTAGCTGTCCTCCTAAATCAAGTAAATAAATAAAAATACTTTGTAATTTTCAGTTATATACATTTCAGTAGTTCTACAGTCATTTAAACATTTCAAGACTCAACTTCCTCCTCTTTCTGCGGTTCCTTTAGTTGTTTTTTTCACCTTTCCCTGCATATTCTAAATTAACTTATTATTTTATTCATCTACTTTAATTATATACTCTTACAAAACTGCCAGTTATTACAATAATCCTGCCAAAGTCCTTATCTATTTACAATTTATAATAATATAATAATAATTTATTATTTATACCCCGCCCATCTGGCAGGGTTTCCCCAGCCACTCTGGGCAGCTTCCAACAAAGTATTAAAATACAGTAGTCTGTTAAACATTAAAAGCTTCCCTAAAGAGGGCTGCCTTCAGATGTCTTCTATAAGTCTGGTAGTTATTTGCAAATATTCAATAAACCATTTCCATTCTTTTGTAAAAAGTTAGTTATCTTGATTTCTTATTCCCGCCCCCGCGCCCCTGCCATTTCTGTATAGTCCATAAGTTTTTGTGTCCATTCTTCTTTCGTCAGGTCGTCTTCTTTCCATTTTGGGACAAATTACATTCTTGCTGCTGTAGTTGCATACATGAATAAATTTCTGTACTGTTCTACCCCTATAACTCCCAGAAGGAAATACTTATACCCATCGCATCACAGATAGGTTGGTTCTGCCCCCATCCCCATAAATCCTGGCTAATCCCATGGCTGCCATTTATAATGCTTAGTGGTTCTCCTGCAAGACTCTTTGCCAATACAGTGATACCTCTGGTTACGTACTTCATTCATTCCGGAGGTCCATTCATAACCTGAAACTGTTCTTAACCTGAAGCACCACTTTAGCTAATGGGGCCTCCCGCTGCCGCCGCGCCACTGGAGCATGATTTCTGTTCACATCCTGAAGCAAAGTTCTTAGTCTGAGGTACTATTTCTGGGTTAGCGGAATCTGTAACCTGAAGCGTATGTAACCTGAAGCGTATGTAACCCGAGGTACCACTGTAGTTTTGCAGTTCTTCATAGTATGATTTAAAGAGAGCTTCTGTAGCTCAGTATTAAAACACAGGCTTTGCAGGCAGGAAGTTCCTTATTCGATTCCAGATATCCCTAATGTAAGTCAGTATGTGTTTGTGTACGTGTGTGTATCTATATCTGTCTGTCTGTCTGTCTGTCTATCTATTTATCTATCTATCTATCTATCTATCTATCTATCTGATCTACTGTAGTCTATACATTACCACAGAGGAACAATTACGCTTACAGAAGTAGAGAGTCTGTATAGTTGTGTAGCTTCTGGGGTAAGATTGCCTTTTGATTCATAATGCTACATAGACGACTGCTGAATGCTGACTCTTGGCTATAAAGTGGTGGAGTGTTCATCCAGTAAAATATTACTATTTCAGTTGCTGTTGTGGTTTATTAAATCAGTTTGCCACCCTTCCTCCGTAGATTTCAGGGCGGTTCACAACATTAAGATAGAAGATAAAAAACACAAAATACATAATAGAAACAAACCCGTAACCTCCCATCCTCTGCCACAACACATTTAAAAAGGTATCGGATGTTAATCAGCCAGAGGTCTGGTTGAAGAGGCATGTTTGTGCCAGGCATCTAAAAGTATATAATGAAGGTGCCAGCTGAAATAATAACAAGAAGAAGAAGAAGGAGAAGAAGAAGGAGAAGAAGAAGAAGAAGAATGAAGTTACTACATGGCACAGCTGGGTACCACCCAGCCTCCTGAATGGTTGTGTTGGTAACCATAGCATTTGTGGGAATTGCATTTTGCAGAGGGGGAGAGAGTTGTTATTTGAGTGACCTTGTTTATAATCCGCGCTCCCCTCCATATTTATGGCTGGTGGCCCAGTTATGCCCTTAATTAGACAGGGATAGCCTAATTTATGTTGTCTATGCTCTGATAAAATATAAAAAGGGGTGCCTTTCTCATTCTAATCTCAGGAAAATACATGAATCTGAAGAAAAACCATACTTTGCTTTTAGAACATTTTTTTTATTCTTACAGAAACTGTTGCAGCTTTTGATTGGAACAACTGAAATGTCTAATTGAATGATAGCTCTATTCCCTTAAACCTTTTCTCCAAGTTGATGTCTTATGCTTTGTCTAATTACCGTATTTTTCGCTCCATGGGACGCACTTTTTCCCCTCCAAAAATGAAGGGGAAATGTGTGTGCGTCCTATGGAGCGAATGCAGGCTTTCGCTGAAGCCTGGAGAGCGACAGGCATCGGTGCGCACCGACCCCTCTCGCTCTCCAGGCTTCAGGAAACTATCCGCAAGCCTTGCAAGCCCGGTGGGAGTTCCCGCGGGCTCACAAGGCTTGCAGGCAGCAGCCTGCAGCCCCGGCGAGTGTCCGCAAGCCTCGCACTGCCGGCAGGAGGTCCCGCCGAGCGCGCGAGGCTTGGGGCGGCAGCTTGTCGCCCGAAGCACGGGGCACCCTCCGGAGGGCTCCCCGTGCTCGGGAGAGTGTCTGCAAGCCTTGCGCGCCCGGCAGGAGGTCCCGCCGAGCGCGCGAGGCTTGGGGCGGCAGCCTGTCGCCCGAGCACGGGAGCCCTCTGGAGGGCTCCCGTGCTTCGGGCGAGTGTCTGCAAGCCTTGCGCGCCCGGCAGGAGGTCCCGCCGAGCGCGCAAGGCTTGGGGCTGCAGCCTGTCGCCAAGCACGGGGAGCCCTCCGGAGGGCTCCCGTGCTTCGGGCGACAGGCTGCAAGCCTTGCGCGCCCGGCAGGAGGTCCCGCCGAGCGCGCAAGGCTTGGGGCTGCAGCCTGTCGCCCGAAGCACGGGAGCCCTCCAGAGGGCTCCCGTGCTTCGGGCGAGTGTCTGCAAGCCTTGCGCGCCCGGCAGGAGGTCCCGCCGAGCGCGCAAGGCTTGGGGCTGCAGCCTGTCGCCCAAAGCACGGGGAGCCCTCCGGAGGGCTCCCCGTGCTTAGGGCGAGTGTCTGCAAGCCTTGCGCGCCCGGCAGGAGGTCCCGCCGAGCGCGCGAGGCTTGGGGCGGTAGCCTGCAGCCCGAAGCACGCGAGGCTTGGGGCGGCAGCCGCGGCGGGGGGGGGATAATTTTTTTTATTCATTTCCCCCCCAAAAAAACGAGGTGCGTCCTATGGGCCGGTGCGCCCTATAGAACGAAAAATACGGTATTTAGCAAGTACACCCATTTTCCCTATGGTAAAAGAGTGTTGTTATTTCTAGTAACATCTATCTGTGCAAAAGGAAACATACTAGCTCCCTTAGTTCAACAAGGCAGGGTCAGGGATTGGGAATTTGTTGTCCTCCAGATGTTTCTGGATTACAACTCTGGCAGAGGATGGTGTGAGTTGGAGTCCAGCAACATCTCTTCACCTCTTGTAAGGCGGAAATCCTTGGCGATCACAGAGTACAGTGGTGCCCCGCAAGACGAATGCCTCGCAAGACGGAAAACCCGCTAGACGAAAGGGTTTTCCGTTTTGGAGGTGCTTCGCAAAACGAATTTCCTATGGGCTTGCTTCGCAAGACGAAAATGTCTTGCGAGTTCCTGCGGGGTTTTTTTCCTTTCCCCCCCTTTTTCCCAAGCTGCTAAGCCGCTTATCAGCTGATCCGCTAAGCCGCTTAACAGCTGATCCCTTAAGCCACTAAGCCGCTTATCAGCTGATCCGTTAAGCCACTAAGCCGCTTATCAGCTGATCCGCTAAGCCCGCTAAGCCGCTAAACCGCTAATGGGCTTGCTTCGCAAGACGAAAAAACCGCAAGACGAAGAGACTCGCGGAACGGATTCTTTTCGTCTTGCGAGGCACCACTGTAAAATGGTTCTGCTAGCCTTGCTTCCTTTCTGAGAGAAGCAGAAAAACGTATGCACTCTCATGCAATTTTCTTTCTTACTGCAGAGATCAATTTCAAGCTGGATGAGAGAACGGCCCACAGCAGCTTGGATCTGTTCAAAAAGAACACTGGTGTCATTTACCGTATGCTGGGGATTGACCCCACCAGCGTTCCCCGGAATCCTGAACGCTTCAGAGACTGGGCTGTGGTACTGGGTGACACGGCTGTCTCCAGTGGGCGTCACTACTGGGAAGTGACTGTCAAAGAATCGCAGCAATTCCGCATAGGGGTAGCAGACGTGGACATCTCCCGGGACGGTTGTGTTGGAGTAGATGACCGCTCCTGGGTCTTTTCCTATGCGAACCGGCACTGGAATGCCATGTTCGCTAATGAGACCACTCCAATCAAGAACATCGGCCACCCAGAGAGAGTGGGTCTGCTCTTGGACTACGACAGCAAGAAACTCAGCCTGGTGGATGTCAGCAAACATGTGTCCGTCCACAGCATCTTTGCTGAGTTCCAAGGCCCCGTAGTGCCTGCCTTTGCCGTCTGGGATGGTGAACTGATCACGCATTCAGGCCTCGATGTACCTGAAAATCTCGACAGGAACTGAAAACCTCTCCAGCTTAGTGATGTTTGGAGAGATGGACAAACTGCTTGGAATATGAGGCTTCAGAGTGGTACATAAAAGAAGGAATCCCTCTCCTGCAATACCCTTGTCATAGGAGCCAAAGTTTCATATCTATATGTACCATTCAGCCCGTTGACTGTTTTCTCTTAGGAAGAGATGAGACCTTTGGATTCCAGGTTGAAACGTATCTCATTTGGAATGTAGTAAGATATTATTCAGAGCACAGAAGGCCACATATTCTGATTTTCTGTCTCTGCTACTTTATTCTCGTAAAAGGAGGTCGTTTGGCTGTCTACAAACACGGGATACACTTGGCTTAAATTAGGGTTTGTCCATATGGAAAAATGTATGTGGTTGCTCCACGGTCAAATTTGTTTCTTTGCAGCTATTGTGTGTGATCAGCCACACCTTTTGGTGCTCTTATTCCATGTCCTTAATAATGTATAGAGTCCCCTTGCTCAGCCTAAGTATCTGCCTAGGCTTTCAGATGTCTGGAGGCAGGGAAACTCCACTTGGATCTCTGTGTACAATGCATAGCCACTATTGCCCTCTGCTGGGCCAGTGGGAGGACAAACTAAGCCTGCATCTAAGATGCTGACATACCCATTGGAGCTCTAATCCTCCTGTACTGATAATCAGTTATACAGGAATTACTTTCTTTTAATACACAGCCCAATAATCCCACCTCATTCCATTATACCCTGGCTTAGCAGGAGTTTCCTTGTACAGGGTTTTGTCTGTGTTTAATGGAGCAGCAATATATGTGTGACAAATCAAGCCAGAAATGTTCTGATACAGCTATCTGTGGTCACTCTTTTCCCAGTACTCTTAGATCCAGCACACTGACACGTTCTCCAGAGGTGTGCTTTATTTTATAGACCACAACTTGAAGACAACAAGGAGCTATTTTTTTGAACCAAGGAAGAGCAGCATTCTGTTAACTGTATGTGTGTTGGCAGTTGTGTAGTTATCACAATCAATAAAAATAAATTTATCTGAAACACTGTATTTTCTGTTGGTGCTCTCCTAAGCTGCTTTGGACTGACCAGTGCTTTTTCCTGAAAATATCCCATGGTTTAAGAAAAGCTTTAAAACAAACAAACAAAACACCCTTCAGTCTAGAATTGCTGCTGAAAGGAGATAGGCTCTGTGAAGAAAACACTACCATTTGCTCTGAACTTCTCTCTTTATTCCAGAGTGCAATTCTGAATGCACTTGTTCGACTCATACAAATTCAGTTGGGACTTAACACTTAAATATTGAACAAATATGCTTAGGGTTGTAACTCTGTCTACCCGTATTACCACATCACTCTGCACCTCTTGATCTTATCACTTTTATCCTGGGACTTGTCTAGAAAGTTAGGGCAATATTTAGTTTGTCTAGAAAACTAAGGCCCAGAGAGATTGTCTTATCTCCAGCATTGCAGGCACGGCTTGAGGTGGGTGTACACTTTGCCCCTTTCTGGTTTTCAAAGCTGGTGTTTTAAAGCATTTTTGTTTTGCAAACCACCCTAACAAATTGTATATCAAATGGCAATGTTAAAAAAGATAAAACTCTGCAGTCACAGCCTGAAAGCTTCCCCCATCCCAATTACACAAATACTAGGACTGCATGCTGAGGTTCATAATTATTTGAAAGAAGGGAGCAACAGAAAGTCATAGTACTTAGTGGGGATAACAGTGTAGGGCAAAGGGGCAGGCCTACTTTGGCCCTTAAATGCCTTTTGCCTATGTAAGCAGTGTCTGCTTTGATCTACAGGCAGTGTGAAGTGTTAGCACTTAAGAGACAAGGTCCCACTTTGGTCTCTCTCGCCAATATCTGCTAGCTCAGTTTCTGTGGACTCAAGTTTACTGCTGTGTCACCAAGTATCGAGCTTGTGCATGGAACTAACTGGTGTAGGTGTTTCCTATAACCCAAGAATTGGGAGACTGACCGCATGAAACTTCAGGAAGAGCCTTTAGGATGGACCCAACCAACCAACCAACCACATCTCAGCTCAAATCCTAAGCAGAAGTATGTCCGCTGGTGTGTCTGCCTCCTTTCAGAAATGAGAGCAAGTGACCTAGTTAAATCTGTGTTGAAATGCAGCTAACAGAATAGTTCACAATTTTCACACCATGCTTTCTAAGTTCTCCTTGGAAAGGTCCTCAGCTGCTTCCCGGGCCTGGCTGGCTCCCAATACGTAGGTGTCTTGGTAATCTTTGAGTAGCTTCACCACTTCCAAGTGATTAAACTGCGTAGCATCGTCCAAGGCAATGTTCCCCCACCTGCAGAGAAGGAAAGAGATGAAGGCATGTGCAGCTACTATCTATTTAGAAACTGGATCCAGTCAGTAGGCCAGATCTAGAACTCAACACAGATCACTTTGATGGGTGGCTAGGACTGCCTGTCTGTCAGTCACCAGAAGAGGTATGATGCTAGGTGATTCAAAGGAAGAAGGAGGAGTGCATCTTTGTTGGTGCAGTTTGAATTCAAACCATGGTTGCAGCTGGAAAGGATGAATTGGGAGCATACCCTTAAGTACCGTATTTTTCGCTCTATAAGATGCACCAGACCACAAGACGCACCTAGTTTTTGGAGGAGGAAAACAAGAAAAAAAATACTTTGAATCTCAGAAGCCAGAACAGCAAGAGGGATTGCTGCGCAGTGAAAGCAGCGATCCCTCTTGCTGTTCTGGCTTCTGGGATAGCTGCGCAGCCTGCATTTTCTCCATAAAACGCACACACACTTCCCCTTAGTGAGTCTTATAGAGCAAAAAAGTGAGTCTTATAGAGCAAAAAATACAGTATGTTGTTGATTCTTCATATCAAGCTAGAATTTGGTGCTTTAAAAAATAAAAATGGGTGCTTTTCTCAGCCACCATAGATGGGTACCTCATTCAAAAAGTGCCTTATGTTACTGGAAAGGAAGAAGCAAGGTTAAAGTTTGTGCCCAATTAATCCTGTTCAGTTTGGCTCCATGCGTTTACTTGTCGCACCCAATTTTGTATGTTGTCAGGTGATGGACAGATTGATAGGTAGGGGTGGTTTGGGCCAAAATACACCAGTGGGCCAAATGGGAAGGCCCAAGAGGCTCTCTGACATCTTGTCTTTGGCTGTGGCAATCCCTGATGTCCCAGCTAAGAACAGACCTCCCCTCTCCCCAGTCCTTCATAAGCCTACTATTTCTCACCTGTCTTTGACAAAAGGATTTACTCTGCAGGCTTCCACCAGAAACTTCACAACCTCCAGGTGACCTGGGCAGGGGGGAGGAATAACAGAATTTTAAGTTTCAACCTCTTGGCCCACCCCCACCCCCAACAAGTCACAAAGTTATTTAAGCAGAGAGTTGGTGGATTGCATGAAGGTTATTACAGAGCAAGTAGCTTACTCATAGCAATAGATGGACACAGCGAAACTGTAAACCTAAGCTGCCTTGAAAGAGGTTTATTTCTTACTAAATGCCCCCTGGTCTGCCCCCCAAACCCCTATAGCTTGCAGAGAGCACAGTGATAGTTTAATCTGAGGTCCCTTTCTTGCTACAAAACCAGAGTTCCTTGTGTATGAGCTGTGACACTCTGCTAACCTCTCATTAAGACAGAGCCTTAAAAATACTCGTTAACCTACATTAAAGCCTGGGACTTTTTCCAGTCCCAGTGTAAAACAAGCATTACTTTGTATAGTCCTGCTTAGTCAAAATATTTGAAATTAACTTTTGTCTTAAAACACAGAAAATTGATTAGCTGGGAATGTAAGGGGGGGGGGGAGAGACAGAGATTCCTGCATCTTTTATCCCTAAGGTTGCATAGAGTTTGTGGAGACATGTAAAAGTTTAGAGCAGGGGAGAGAAACCTACATACACTGCTGGACTCCAACTCCCACCATCCTGGGGCTGATGGGAGTTGGAGTCCAACAAGATCTTGGAATGGTGGGTACAGGTTATCCACCTGTGGTTTGGTACCTTACATTTCCATCTCTAATGGAAACCTCTTCAGCATCAATACATAGCTTTATTTTGTTCTCGTCAGGTACCTCCAGTTCCCAGCCGATGCCTTCTATCTTTCGCCAGCCATTTTCACTATCCTTGCACCTAAATCCTCTTCCCCACTTATGTCCCTGGTTCAGTATCTTTGATAGCCTTTGATTCTTATTATGTTCCTCTATGGTTTTCCCAGTAGTGATGTATGGAAGTGAGAGCTGGACCATAAAGAAGGCTGATAGCCGAATAATTGATGCTTTTGAATTCTGGTGCTGAAGGAGACTCTTGAGAGTCCCATGGACTGCAAGAAGATCAAACGTATCCATTCTTAAGGAAATCAGCCCTGAGTGCTCACTGGAAGGGCAGATCCTGAAACTGAGGCTCCAGTACTTTGGCCACCTCATGAGAAGAGAAGACTCCCTGGAAAAGACCCTGATGCTGGGAAAGATGGAGGGCACAAGGAGAAGGGGATGACCGAGGACGAGATGGTTGGATAGTGTTCTTGAAGCTACCAGCATGAGTTTGACCAAGCTGCGGGAGGCAGTGGAAGACAGGCGTGCCTGGCGTGCTCTGGTCCATGGGGTCACGAAGAGTCGGACACGACTAAATGACAAAACAACAACAAATCTCAAAGAACATGGTGAGTGCACTTAACAGAAACGGTGTGTCGCATTGTATTGAAGCAATGCACCATTGACCCCATAGTGCTGCTACCACACTAGGCTCCACTTTTAGGGCAGAAGCAGCGTTAGAAACTCAGATATATAAGCTGGGTGCAAAATGGCTCCTTAAACCAAGGTTGCAGTTGCCAAAATGGAATGACTAGTTGCTATTTTTGCATAATATAGCTCTAAAGTCTTGTTTTTCAAATGATGGACTGACTATGATTATCAGTGCTGGAGGAGACTCTTGAGAGTCCCATGGACTGCAAGAAGATCAAACCTCTCCATTCTGAAGGAAATCAGCCCTGAGTGCTCACTGGAAGGACAGATCGTGAAGCTGAGGCTCCAATACTTTGGCCACCTCATGAGAAGAGAATACTCCCTGGAAAAGACCCTGATGTTGGGAAAGATTGAGGGCACAAGGAGAAGGGGACGACAGAGGACAAGATGGTTGGACAGTGTTCTTGAAGCTACCAGCATGAGTCTGACCAAACTGCGGGAGGCAGTGGAAGACAGGAGTGCTTGGCGTGCTGTGGTCCATGGGGTCACGAAAAGTCGGACACGATTAAACGACTAAACAACAACATTCCGACCTCTTTTTCTTAATTGTGACTGCTCCTGCTCAGGCTGCACAGGAAAAGCATTTGGGATCCAGAAATTTATTCTGCTTGTGCAGATAAAATATAACTGATAGAATTCAACAGGGTGGGGCATTGATGTATGGCAGGCATGGCCAAACTTGGCTCTCCAGATGTTTTGGGACTACAATTCCCATCGTCCCTGACCACTGGTCCTGTTAGCTAGGGATGATGGGAATTGTAGTTCCAAAACATCTGGAGGGCCAAGTTTGGCCATGCCTGGTGTATGGGAACAGTCCATATCCAATGATCCTCAGATGGTGGAGATGTCAGGTACCATCCTGGCAGCCAGGCATCTTCACTTGGTAATTAAGTGGTCCATAGGTAAAGGCAAAGGGACCCCTGACCATTAGGTCCAGTCGTGACCGAATCTGGGGTTGCAGCGCTCATCTCGCTTTATTGGCCGAGGGAGCTGGCATACAGCCTCCGGGTCATGTGGCCAGCATGACTAAGCCACTTCTGGCAAACCAGAGCAGTGCACGGAAATGCCGTTTTCCTTCCCGCCGGAGTGGTACCTATTTATCTACTTGCACTTTGACATGCTTTCGAACTGCTAGGTTGGCAGGAGCTGGGACCGAGCAACGGGAGCTCACCCTGTCACGGGGATTCGAACCGCCGACCTTAAGTGGTCCATAGCCAGGTGCAAAAACACTGGGCAGAAGGACACCAGAGAAGTGCATGACTGAAGGCCTGAGGTGCGTTGGGGCTGTGCAAGCCTGCAAGGTGCAAACATGGCCCTAGACTCATGAAACTTTTGTGGCCCCAGCATGCTACCTTCAGCTGCAGCTACATGAAGAGCTGTGCGGGAGTCGTAGTCTTTCTGTTCCATGTCCATGGCTGACAGGGCAAATCTAGAGGGAAGCCAAGAAGAGAGTCAGTGTTATTTCCAATGCTAGTTCTGCTCACAGACCCATTGAAATTAACAGGCTGTTAGTCATGTATCTTAATTTCAATGGGCCTACTCTGAGGAGGACTACCACATAGAGCAACTTAAACTATAGTCAGATAAATTAGATCCAACTGTTTTTTGGAGTCCAAAAACAGCTGGAGACCCAAGTTTGGGAAACACTGAACTTGATCAAGGATGGGGCACCTATGGCCCTCCACGTGTTATTGGACTACAATTCCCATCATTCTTGAGGCCACTGTCCATTCTGGCTGGAGCTGATGGGTATTGTAGTCCAGCTACATCTGGAAGGCTACAAGTTCCCCATCCCAGGGTTCCAGGGTTGTAAAGACTGCAGAGAGAATAATTGGGTGCACTCTTCCCACCTTTGATCAAATCTATGCTGCCAGGTGCCATAAGAAACCTGCAGAGATAGCGCAGGATAGTGCGCACCCCTGAAATTATCTCTTTCAGTTTCTGCCTTCTGGAAGAATAAAGACTAGGACTAGCCGCCTGAGAAACAGTTTCTACCCAAATGCAATTCTGGTTTTAAACACAGTATAAGGAGACCCCTGACCATCAGGTCCAGTTGTGGCCGACTCTGGGGTTGCGGCGCTCATCTCACTTTATTGGCCGAGGGAGCTGGCATACAGCTTCTGGGTCATGTGGCCAGCATGACTAAGCCGCTTCTGGCAAACCAGAGCTGCGCACGGAAACGCCGTTTACGTTCCCACCGGAGCGGTACCTATTTATCTACTTGCACTTTGGCGTGCTTTCGAACTGCTAGGTTGGCAGGAACAGGGACCGAGCAACAGGAGCTCACCCCGTCACGGGGATTCGAACCGCCGACCTTCTGATCGGCAAGTCCTAGGCTCTGTGGTTTAACCCACAGCGCCACCCGCGTCCCTCTATAGGAGTATATTGTAGTTTTAAATGGGGTTTCAGAGTTTTTAGGGGTTTTTGAATGTCTTATGTAGCTTTTTCAATTTCATTGTTCTGTATAGGACAATGGCAATAAAGATATTGTACCGTATATCGAAAGGCAGTTCAAGAAATCTCTCCCCAGCACTGTCTTTCCCCTAGTCTGGCTGGCCCATACCTCCGAAGAGCAGAGACGTCGCCACTGTAGGCAGCAAACAGCAGGTTCACCACTGTCTTGTTCTGAAAGAGATGGAGCGAGGTGTTAAGAATGTAAGAAAAGTCTTACTGGATCAAGCCAAAGGCTCGTTCTCACTATGGTCAATGAGATACCCATGGGAAGCCTGCAACCCAGGCACAACAGCACTCTCCCCAACTGTGATTCCCAGTAACTGATGGCAATGTGTAGCTCGTGTGGCTAGCAGCCACCAATAGACTTATCCTCCACGAATTTGCCTAATCCTATTTTGAAGCTATTATAAAGTTCTGAACTTTATGGAATGTGCTACAGCTGGGACTATTCGTATTCTGTGACTTCACCCACACAGTACTCAAAATGTTATGTCCGGTATACGGCCTCGGTCCAGTATATCTGAAGGAGGGTCTCCACCCCCATCATTCTACCCAGACACTGAGGTCCACTTCCGAGGGCCTTCTGGCAGTTCCCTCACTGCGAGAAGCAGTTACAGGGAACCAGGCAGAGGGCCTTCTCGGTAGTGGTGCCCTCCCTGTGGAATGCCCTCCCACCAGATGTCAAAGAGAACAACAACTACCAGACTTTTAGAAGACATCTGAAGGCAGCCCTGTGTAGGGAAGCTTTTAATGTTTGATGTATTGCAGTGCTTTAATATATTTTTTTGGAAGCCGCCCAGAGTGGCTGGGGAAGCCCAGCCAGATGGGCGGGGTATAAATAATAAATTATTATTATTATTATTATTATTTCTAGTCCTCCTCATTTTGGAGGTGTTCAACCCTCCCAACGTACGCATGTTGATTAAAGCAAAAAATATAAAAAATTCTTCCCATAGCATCTTAGAGACCAACGAAGTTTGTTATTGGTATGAGCTTTTGTGTGCACGCTCATACCAATAACAAACTTTGTTGGTCTCTAAGGTGCTACTGGAAGGAATTTGTTTATTTTGTTTCAACTACGGCAGACCAACACGGCTACCTACCTGTAACTAAAGCAAAAAATGTTAGTATTTGTAATGTAATTTAATTGGGAATATATTTCAGATAATTGATGGTATTGGGGAAAGGAGGTGGCGGTTGGGAACTGCTTGGATATTTCTGCGAGTTATTTCTTGACTGAGAAGGTGAGAGGTGTGGGGACTTATCACAGAAGCTATCTGGAGGAGTTTGTAAATAATACTTGTCCAGTCGTTGCCAGCCTGACAAGCAAAAAGTTTTTATCGTCAAAGCACCCAACAGCATAGAATCCAGAGCTTATTATCATAATATGCTGAGGGGTCATTGGTGCAATTTATATATATATATATTAATCATCCCATCCCAAACTTCACTTCTGCACTCTTCCACTAAAATCTGTCATTATCTTTCAGACAACCGTTTCCGTCATTACTCTAACTTCGATTCCTTCACGGCGTGGGTCCATCTTGCGGGTGCAGTGCAGCAAGTTGTCGTAGTTGTGGAAGTTGAAGAGTGAGACCAGATCCTGCAGAAAGAGGAGTCAAAAGGTAGCAAGGAGCATGCAAAGCACAGGGGAAAGTGGTCAGAAGTGGGAACCGAAGTGTGAAGTCACAAGCAGAATATTTCACCACAAAACCTTCAAAGGGTTAAACCAGTGTTTGTCAAACTTGGGTCTCCCACTGTTTTTGGACTACAATTCTCATCATCCCTAGCTAGCAGAACCAGTGGTCAGGGATAGTGGGAACTGTAGTCCAAAAACAGTAGGAGATCCAAGTTTGGGAAACCCAAACTTGGAAGGTTTGAAATAAAATCCAAAGTCTGCACCAGAAAAAAAAATCAGGCAACTTCTAGATCTTTATAGATTATACAAATGCATTAATAATAATAAATAATAATAATAATAATTTTATTTATACCCCGCCCTCCCCAGCCAAGACCGGGCTCAGGGCAGCTAACACCAGGTAAAAACAATTGATTAAAATACAACTTAAAAACAAGATTAAGCACAACATTAAAATGCAGCCTCATTTCAGTAGAAACTCAAATCAAAAACTTTTTGGGGATGAAAACGTCAAATCTTCACCAAGACCAACTATCCAGACTGGTCCTACGTGGGCCAGAAAAAAGCCAGGGAAGTCCCCAAATAAGAGTTCCATCACAGAAGGAGAAAGGAAAAAGGAAAGAGGGGGAGGGGATCAAGTTGATTCCAAACCAAAGGCCAGGCAGAACAACTCTGTCTTACAGGCCCTGCAGAAAGCAATCAGATCCTGCAGGGCCCTGGTCTCATGAGACAGAGCGTTCTGGTTGAAGCTAATCTGACTTCCTTAGGGCCCGGGACCTCTAGGGTGTTGTTATTTATGGACCTTAAGGTCCTCTGTGGGGCGTACTGGGAGAGGTGGTCCCGTAAGTACGAGGGTCCTAGGCCGTGAAGGGCTTTAAAGGTCAAAACCAGCACCTTAAATCTGACCCTGTACTCCACCGGGAGCCAGTGCAGCTGGAAAAGCACTGGGTGAATATGCTCCCATGGCAGGGACCCCGTGAGGAGCCTCGCTGCAGAATTCTGCACCCGCTGGAGTTTCTGGGACAGCTTCAAGGGCAGCCCTGCTTAGAGGGAGTTACAGTAGTCAAGCCTGGAGGTGCCCGTCGCATGCATCACTGTGGCCAGGTCGGGGAGGGAAAGGTAAGGGACCAACTGCTTGATATGGCGAAGATGGAAAAATATCGCTTTGGCTGTTGCTGTAACCTGTGCCTCCATTTGCTTCCTTTAAGAACAGAAGAAGAGTGATGCTGGATCCGGTCAATGGGTCATCTACTCCTGCTCTCACAGTAGCCAGCAAGATTACTACGGGAAGCATGCAACCAGGACCAAAGCTCAACGGCCCTCTTCCCTCCAGAATATCAAACGATATTCAGAAGCATACTGACTTCATTCAGTGTGGATGGAGTTTAGCTGTTATATTCATTTTACTCCTAAAACAGCTTTTCATCCATCTGGTGCCCTGACATGTAACTGCAACTCCCATCAGCCCAAGCCAGCTTAGGTTGAAGGGAACTGTAGCCCAAAACATCTGGAAGGCACCAAGTCAGCAAATGCTGTCCTTCAGAATGGAGAAGTGGCATGTGGTCATTGGACTAGGCAGGGGTCAGCAAATTTTTTCAGCAGGGGGCTGGTCCAGGGGGCCGGTCGACTGTCCTTCAGACCTTGTGGGGGGCCAGACTATATTTTGGAAAAAAATAATGAACGAATTACTATGCCCCACAAATAACCCCGAGGTGCATTTGAAATAAAAGGACACATTCTACTCCTGTAAAAACACAAGACAGGCCCCACAAATAACCCAGAGATGCATTTTAAATAAAAGCACACATTCTACTCATGTAAAAACACGCTGATTCCTGGACCATCTGCGGGCCAGATTTAGAAGGTGATTGGACCGGATCCGGCCCCTGGGCCTTAGTTTGCCTACCCATGGACTAGGGGGACTAGGCTAGTCCCCTAAATGTTAACCTGGCGCCTCCTTCCCAAAGTCTTGGAAGCTTCTGCCTGGCATGGGAGGGAGGTGCAGTTCTCACACACAACATCCCTGCCCCAATCACCCTTGCAAGCTGGTGCCTCTGGCTCTAACTGTTCCCCTGCAAAAAAATTCATCACACACCACTGGAATGGAAGTTGGAAGAGGGACTTGCATGGAGCCATCCCTCCCAATTCAACCAGGTGGTTCTCACTGACGGCTTTATCAGAACTCATTCTACCGGTTATGGCCGTGGGGCAACTCACCTGGCAAAACCCAATCCCCCTCGTGCTGTTGCCAACTTTATCCAGAGGGGGCGACAGACACATCACACCCATGACGTTGGGCACCACCAGCAAGATGGCGCCAGAGACGGCAGATTTGGCGGGTAGACCAACCTGAAAATGAGGAAGCAAAAGCGGGAGGGAAATTAGATGAAGGGCAAGGAACGAGCTTGCTTTTGAGTGGCACAGAATTCTTCCTCATGTTTTGTAAGAGCATATTCTTATGGATCAGGCCAGTGGGCCTTCTAGGCCAACATCCTTTTCATAGCTGTCAACTTAAGGATTTGAAAATAAGGGACCAGCAGCCTCGAAATAAGGGACCGGCAGCCAAAATAAGGGATTTTCCGAACACAGGTATGTTCAACTTCTGAGCCCCTCTGAGCCAAAGGCAGAAAGCCCAGCCAGCAGCCAAACGAAGCCTCAAGCGGTGGTTCCCACAGCGCAGCAACCCGGCAAAGGGGATGCAGCAAGGGAAACCACCGTCACCTCTCCGCTGGGAAGCGCTGAGCAAAGGCGAGTCCCTAGGCAACACGGCCGATTTGATCGGCACAAGGCATGCAAGCTCCACCCCCCAGTCGTTCTTAGACTCCTTATTGGGTGAGCAACGCAGCCAAGCAACACAGTTGGAGCCTCCCTCCTCCCTGGCTGGCAGGGAGGGAGGGAGGGAGAGGAGCTGCTTCCTTTGAAACCAGGGAAATTTAAGGGACATCATCAATAAGGGACAGCAGCAGGACACAGCGCTGGGATAAGGGACTTTCCCGCCAAATAAGGGACGGTTGACAGCTATGATCCTTTTCCCACAGTGGCCAATCAGATGCCTATTAGAAGTGCACACAAGTGCACCTGAACACAACCATCTTGCAGTTTCCGGCAACTGGAATTCAGAAGCCTGCCCCCTCTGCCACCCCTTCATATGCCCCTACCTGACACCCCCGGGTATTGAGTGGTATATAAATTCAATAAATCATCATTATCACCAACACACACACACACACACACACACACACACACACTGCTGAAGCACACATAGTTGTCTCCCATTTGCAGCCCACCAAAAGATACTGCAGACACTTACATGGAAGGCGAACTCCCCAGAGAAGTCATACATGCCACACGAGTGCATGAGGCTGAGGGTGTTGCGGACAGCTTCATCGCTCAACACACACTCGCCTGTGATGGGGCAGATGCCACCATTGGCCAATGTGGCCGCCATGACACTGCCGGATTCGCAAGTTACTTCCACAGAGCACAGCTTTGCAGGGTGGAGGGAAAGGGTTGGGGGGAGGAACGGGAGGAAAAGTCATTATTGTATAATTAACAAAGAAGCAATATTCAAAGGTATGAGGATCATAATAGGTTCCAGTGTCTAGAGCAGGGGTCAGCAAACTTTTTCAGCAGGGGGCCGGTCCACTGTCCCTCAGACCTTGTGGGGGGCTGGACTATATTTTGAAAGAAAAAGAAAAAAAGAACTACAGTCATACCTCGGGTTAAATGTGTTTCAGGTTGAGCGCTTTCGGGTTGCGCTCTGCGGGAACCCAGAAGTAACGGAACGCGTTAACTCCGGGTTTTGCGGCTTGCGCATGCACAATCAAAATGACGTCGCGCGCATGTGTGGAAGCGGCGAATCGTGACCCACTGATGCAGGTTGCGTTTGCTTCTGGATGCGAACAGGGCTCTGGAACGGATCCTGTTCATATCCAGAGGTACCACTGTAATTCCTATGCCCCACAAATAACCCAGAGATGCATTTTAAATAAAAGGACACATTCTACTCATGTAAAAACACGCTGATTCCTGGACCATCTGCAGGCCGGATTTAGAAGGCGACTGGGCCAGATCCACTCCCTGGGCCTTAGTTTGCCTACCCATGGTTTAGAGCAGGCAAAGTCCGTTTCGGGGGCCTAATCCGGCCCGTTGGTTGGTTTAATCCAGCCCCTGTGGCAGTTTATTTCCTGGGGTAAAATCCTAAAAAAAAGGGTTAACAACTCTGGCCAGCCATTTGGGTGGCCCTCACGGCCCTTCACTTCATCAAATCTGGCCCTCTTTGAAAAAAGTTTTGACACCACTGGTCTGGAGCTATAAATAAGTCCCAGAAATGGACCCTGGACTCTGCTGAGACATGACATTGAAGGGCACAACTCTCTGTTTAACACACAGAGAAAAATATGCCGTCTTTCCAGTTAAAAGACTACAGGTGGGAGATTATGCATTTGAATACTCCTCACGTCAAAATCTCCCTTCATGTGAGAAAGTAGCCTATGTGGAAGAAATCCCTTTTCACTGACATTCTAGGTACAACAGGTTTTTTACATGGATTGCAATTCAAACATGGAAAGTCTCTCTCCTCAGCTGCACTTTGAAGCAGTCTAGTCCAAGATGGGCTTTACTATCTATTCCCTCACCCCACCCTTATGTTTGCATAAGTTCTAAAATAACCTTAGCACTGATCCCCAAATCAACTAGAATCTGCCTGATTTTGAGCAGTGTACAGATTGCTTCTAGGAAAGGAAGCAAAACTGGACTGAACTTTTGGTTCCGTCATGAATCACCAGCCTAGAAGAAAACCTAGAATTGAATTTCTAAGAATGCCCTCTTTGGAACAGAGTTGGACACTAAGGATTCAAATCAATATAATTCTATGGAAATTTCAAACCAGGTTCCTCAACCCGCTTAAGGAGCAGACTAACCATGGCGTGGGAATCTGTGTGTGTGTGTTGCAGAATCTGCACCTGAATTTGTCTGTGCTTTTCTAGAACCAGTTGTTCAGGTGTTTGGGGAAAATATGTCTTATTGAGGTTGGCTTTTCATAACTGAAGTTATTGGGGGGTGGGCAGGTTATTGTGATTTTTGAAAAACATGTTTTATCTGTAAAGACTGGAGTGCCATTTCAGATTTCAGCTGGAGAGACAAAATTCACATTGAGGTTCAAGGCCTACTCCTGGAAATATATACACACACACACACACACACACACACACACAGTGGTACCTCAGGTTAAGTACTTAATTCATTCCGGATGTCCGTACTTAACCTGAAACTGTTCTTAACCTGAAGCACCACTTTAGCTAGTGGGGCCTCCTGCTGCCACAGCGCCGCCGGAGCACGATTTCTGTTCTCATCCTGAAGCAAAGTTCTTAACCTGAAGCACTATTTCTGGGTTAGCAGAGTCTGTAACCTGAAGCGTACATAACCTAAAGCGTATATAACCTGAGGTACCACTGTGTGTGTGTGTGTGTGTGTATGTTTGTGTGTGTGTTTCTTGAACTTTCATTAAAATGCAGTAGGCAATGGTTAGTTATAACAAGCCAATAACAACTAACATAGGCCAGGGGAACTAGATACAGTACAGGAATACAAGATAATTTCGCACATAAGAAAATGAGCAGACTGTGAGATAAATGAATAGCAGATTGTGACTGTCAGTGGTAAGAGTTTTGTTCCAGAAAGAATGAGCATGTATTACCCAGATGTGGACTTATTAATGTGTGCAATAAATGGATACTGTGCTACAATGCATAAATCTTGCTTTGTTAGATCAGTTTCTCTGCCAAAGCTATGTGCCAGACACACTGGAAAGAACTTTAGCCTGTATAACCTGTGGAAGTCTTCAAGTGTCTCACTATTTCCACTCTAGTGAAGGCCTAATCCTGGATATATTCAAGATTAAATGGCAAAAAAGCTGTGCGTTTTAACCTGTGTTATAAAGCACTGCATTGGAAACAGCCCCCACCCCGCCTTCTCAAAACAGTGACCCTGTTATCTCTGTTAGCTATTAAGAATAGCTAAATAATCTATTCTTAGTATGTTTTTAAACAGATGGTTATTTTCCATTGAGATGCAGGTTACATAGTGTATTTGATAAATCCAGGCATCCACAAAAAAACTGCAGTTCTGGGTTCAGCTGCAGTACTGCCACACCCAGCGGAAAGATCTTGCTTACTCATCCCTCTCACGGATTACACTTTCAGCCTCAATCCTCTGAACTTGGAAAATAACTCAGGAGGAACCCAAATTCCCAGCTGAGGAGGGAGTCCAGAAAGCCAACTCACCTGGAAGTATAAGTCGAGAGCTGCCGTCATGTCCGCTCCCTGTGGAAAGCACTGTGGCACAGGGAAGAAAATGAATACGACAACATCAGACACTGGCAAGGATGGACCAAGGCACCCTCTCTCAACATCATCCAGCAACCCAAGACGGGTCCCTCATCTGCTGGAACAATCTTTCCCTGCCTTTATCCCATTTTCTAGGGGACACGGGTGGCGCTGTGGGTTAAACCACAGACCCTAGGACTTGCCGATCAGAAGGTTGGCGGTTCGAATCCCCGTGACGGGGTAAGCTCCCGTTGCTTGTTGCTCAGTCCCTGCTCCTGCCAACCTAGCAGTTTGAAATCACGTCAAAGTGCAAGTAGATAAATAGGTACCGCTCCGGCGGGAAGGTAAACGGCATTTCCATGCACTGCTCTGGTTCGCCAGAAGCGGCTTAGTCATGCTGGCCACATGACCCGGAAGCTGTACGCCGGCTCCCTCAGCCAATAAAGCAAGATGAGTGCCGCAACCCCAGAGTCGGCCACAACTGGACCTAATGGTCAGGGGTCCCTTTACCTTTTACCCCATTTTCTGGTTCTAAGTCTTGTATGGAATTTTAACGAAATACAAGCAACCAATCAAAAAATAAACAGAACTCCCTCCTCCTCCTCCTTACCTTTTTGTCTTTAAGATAATACCCAATAGCATAGTTCCGGTCTCCTGTTTCTTTCTCCGACTGAAACCTATTAAGACACACACACACACTCCTTGATTTCTCTCTCCAGATGCTAGGTGCCCACCCTTCAAGAATTATCATTTACATAAAAAGGAGAGTTCCCTGCCCTACATGCCAATTTCAATCACATCCACACTTTTTAAATTAAAAAAACCAAAAAAACCCCGGTACAGTGGTACCTCGGGTTACATACGCTTCAGGTTACAGAAATAGTGCTTCAGGTTAAGAACTTTACCTCAGGATGAGAACAGAAATCGCGCGGCGGCAGCGGGAGGCCCTATTAGCTAAAGTGGTGCTTCAGGTTAAGAACAGTTTCAGGTTAAGAACGGACCTCCAGAACGAATTAAGTATGTAACCAGAGGTACCACTGTACTAGCAAAACAAGCGTTATTAGCATCTCTTGCAAAAGCAACGCAGGATGCCGTTGCCCCTCCTGCTGGCCTTACGTGGTATTGCTGAATCCCACATACTCGTTTCCGGCCATCTTCTTCAAATAATCCAACACCTAGAATCAAAGCAAGAAGGTCTTCCAGATATGTTTGTGATTCAGACCACCGCCCCCATCTCTCTTTAGCTTCCTTTCCTTTTCCTGCTTATTGAAATTGTCAGTTGGTGAACAGTTCTTTCCCCTCAGTGTCCATTTTATGTTACACAATATACTAGTATTACTTAATATACGAATAGGCACCCATTAGTAGTATTATTATTTAATCATTTTATTTATTAATTGAAGAGAAGTATTGAATTAACTGAGTAGCAGCAGCAGTAATAATAGACAACGGTGATGATAGTCTACATGTATTAGCTTGTAGACAGGGAATTTACCCATGGCAAAAGATGGACAGAGGGTTGCCATTGATAATAATAATAATAAGAAATTATTTATACCCCGCCCATCCGGCCACTCTGGGCAGCTCCCAATAGAATACAGTCATACCTCGGGTTGAATATGCTTCAGGTTAAGCATTTTTGGGTTGTGCTCCACGGGACGCGTTACTTCCGGGTTTCGCCGCTCGCGCATGCGCAGACGCTCAAAACGACATCATGCGCATGCACAGAAGCGGCAAAACACAACCCGTGCATGTGCAGTCGCATGTTACGTTTGCTTCAGGATGCGAACAGGGCTCCGGAACGGATCCTGTTTGCATCCAGAGGTACCACTGTATAAAAAACCACAATAAATACATCAAACATTCAAAACTTCCCTAAACAGGGCTGCCTTCAGATGTCTTCTAAAAGTCAGATAGTTGTTTATTTCCTTGACATCTGATGGGAGGGCGTTCCACAGGGAGGGCGCCACTACTGAGAAGGCCCTCTGCCTGGTTCCCTGTAACTTCACTTTTCACAGTGAGGGAACCGGCAGAAGGCCCTCGGAGCTGGACCGATGGGGGTGGAGACGCTCCTTCAGGTATACTGGGCCGAGGTCATTTAGAGCTGCCTCAGGTCAAACTCCAACTGGACCTTTCAGAAATATTGCTGTCGTTCTGCAATTTAGCTGAGGAAAAACAACATTTGAAAGTACATCTCTGTGGGCCCTGCAAGTTCCTCACCCTCTAGCACTAGCTTCCAAGGGATTCTGGAATCCCAGACCAAATCAGAACTCAGGATTGTTTTGCAAAAGAAATGACTTTGACTATCCAGTGAATAGGTTTCCGCCATCCTGAGAAACCTGGGCCTTGAGAAACTGTAAAATGGAGATTTGAAATAAGTGGCAAAGGCCACACTCACGTAGTCAAACTTCTCAGCTTTCTTACAGCCCATCTAAAAGAAAACAAGAAAAGGAGTCAGTTGAGCTCTGAAAAACTTTTGAGTTGCATTCAGCGAAGTCCTGCCCAGAGTAGACTCAGTGAAATTAATAGACCTAAGTTAGTCATTTCCATTAATTTCAAAGGATCTACTCTGAGTAGGACTAAAATTCAGCGGCAGAGAGTATGTCACAGCACCCCCCACGCTACGCCTCTGCTAACATTGGCTATGATTTTGTGTATCTTAGAGATACAGGTCAACCACAGAGACCCCAAATTAGGGGCAATAATCTGGATTCAGATCTTGATGCCATGGGTCAGTCACCTAACCTGGGAATCCTTCCACAACTGCTGTAGTCCAGACCTCAGGTAAAGCTGTGAGGTTTACACTTTACCAAGGAAGAAAGGCCACAATTGGTACTCAGCGCCATTCTAAGTTACAGCCCATTGTTAACGACAACCACTAACTTGACTGAGGTACACCAGCATAATCTATAGTTTAAAAAAAATGCTTGTCGGTTCACTCTGCATTTGAACACCTCTTAAAATATTGTAATCAAATTTTGCACAATCGTTCCTGAGACCAAGCAGCAGGTTTTGGTCTTATGTTTGGATACAATCTGGGTGCCATTTTGAAACAAGATGTCCGACTGAACCTTTCAATAACTGCACTGATTTAAACCACCGATTTCAAAACTGCACCAAATTTTTGGCTTCTTAGAAGATCCAAGCGACACCAGGCACAAAGCTGCTAGTTCACTACAATCCTGAGCTGTGAACTTCATTATTCTATGGTTCTGCGATTCTGCTTGCTGTTGGGTGGCAACAAAGGCGATCCTCATGCAGTTATTCCTGTTAAGTTTTGTCCATGACTTGAGAACTTCCAAGGACAAAAGTGGTTCTCAAGGCATGGACCACTTTCCTTTCCAGTTCGTATTCTTCAGGACAGGGTTTGGTTGTTCCATAGGTGTGCTCATTCTACCCCCTTAATGTGATGTGCCCTCTTCTTTTTGTACTATCGAGTGCAGGGCAACCCAAGCCCACCTCTGGAACTGTGGCTACAGATGCCTTACCCTGATGAGAGAGCTGATGACAATGGCCCCTGCATTCACCATAGGGTTGTGGGGGATGCCTGGACGCAAAAAGAAAAATGCAGGGTTATTCAAACTTGCTTAAGTCCATCAAGACAAAACCTACAGCCAGCCCAAGAACATAACATTGTTTGCCTATCCAGTTATGTACCAAGGGTGTAGCATGAAGATGGTACAACATCTTACTGAAGCTAAGCCACCCAGAGTAGCTGGGAAAACCCAGCCAGCTGGGCAGGGTATAAATAATAAATTATTATTATTATTATTCAGCAGATCCGAGACTGGTCAGTGCCTGGATGGCGAACCACCAGGGAGTTACATGTACAGATTGGATGTCAGTGTAAGAAAATTAAATATAAATACAATCAAACCTTGGTTGTCGAATGTAATCCACTCCGGAAGCCCGTTCGGCTTCCAAAATATTCGACAACCGAGGTGCAGCTTCCGATTGGCTGCAGGAGCTTCCTGCACTCAAGCAGAAGCTGTGTCAGATGTTCAGCTTCTGAAAAACGTTCGAAAACTGGAACACTCACTTCCAGGTTTTCGACATTCAGGAGCCGAAATGTTCCAGAATGGAGGCGTTGGGAACCAAGGTTTGACTGTATATAAATATATACAGCTGGCATCAGTGATCATTGTGGAACATGACCATGGAACATTGCCTCTTATTATGCCTCAGCTTGGCCCCAAATTATGGGGGGTTTGTCTGACACAGGGACACACACACAGAGTGTTCTGGAATGACTGATGGTAACAATCTTGCATGTTCATGTTCCCATGCTATAGTGCTGGGAGCGAGCTAGCAGTAGATCACACGAAGCAAGTGGCGTTAACTCTTTATTAGAAAACAACAACAACAGTTAACTCTTTATTAGCAAAAACAAAATCTGCACAGACCTGGCTCGTTCCTGGTGGTCTCGCTCCATGAAAACCCATTGCAGAGACTCAAAGTCTCCGCAGGGAAAACAGTCCCTGTTTTCATCAGAGAAATGTTGAAGAATATGGGAAGAGGGAAGAAAACACGCAACTCCAAAGCTTTGCTTGGGTTCACTTCAGCTCATTTGTATATAGCCAAACCATGGTTTAGTGTTACGCGTGAGCATGGCTAGTGACTTGCCCAAGAGGACTTTGTAAGCTTTGTGGCTGGATCAGTGAGGATCCAAACCTTGGTATTTCACACAGAGACACATTGGCTGCTCTCCATCACTCCTCCATTCTTCGTCATTTGGAATTCTGCCCACCTTACCTTCCTCGTTGAGAGAAAGCTTGTCATAACGCAGCCCGCTGGGCTCTTTGCCGACATACTGGTGCACTCGGTCAGTGCCCAGTTCACTGACGGCGACGGCGTATTTAAGGGGCTTGACACATGATTGCAGGCAGAATTGGGTCTTGGTGTGGCCCATGGAATACCTGGGAGGGACAGAGAGGGCGACTGAGGACAGAAGATGCCACCTTACCCCTGCCACCTTCAGCTAACCAATGATAAAATGGCAAGGGGACCAAATTATTATTTTTAATAATTAAGGGTGCTAGAAGCCAGAGTTACATAGAAATCTTCCTTCTACCAACTATTGGGTTCACCTAGTTCAGCGTTCTAGAAGAATTGATCAAAGAATTGATGCTTTTGAATTCTGGTGCTGGAGGAGACTCTTGAGAGTCCCATGGACTGCAAGAAGATCAAACACATCCATTCTGAAGGAAATCAGCCCTGAGTGCTCACTGGAAGGACAGATTGTGAAGCTGAGGCTCCAATACTTTGGCCACCTCATGAGAAGAGAAGACTCCTTGGAAAGGACCCTGATGTTGGGAAAGATTGAGGGCACAAGGAGAAGGGGACGACAGAGGACGAGATGGTTGGACAGTGTTGTCGAAGCTACCAGCATGAGTTTGACCAAACTGCAGGAGGCAGTGGAAGACAGGAGTGCCTGGCGGGCTCTGGTCCATGGGATCACGAAGAGTCGGACACGACTAAACAACTAAACAACAACAAGTTCAGCGTTATCTGTACTGACCGGAAGTGGCTTTCCAGGGATCCGGATGGGATTACTGTAACCCCTTACTCCAGCGGTGGGGGTCCTTTCTCAAACCAAGGGCCACATTCCCTTCTCAGCAAACTTCTGGGGCCCGCACACCAGTGATGTATGGGGCCAGAGGAAAAAGTTGGAGGAGTAATGAACGCAAATGTTACCTTTGTGCAGTAGGCCAACTTCTACCCTGTTCTCTATCCAGGTAAGCAGGACTTGTTATCAGAGTTCAAGGACAAATTTTAGCCAAGCAAAAACACTTAAGGAGGGTGCGGAGCAGGGTTGGTAGAAATGTGATTTTGGGAGGGGTTCAGGTGCCGAGTTCAGAGGCTGGGGCTCTTAAAAACCAGAACACGATCTTCAACTATGTTAGGTGAAGAGATTTATTTTAGAGCACTTTGCTTGCTCACAGTTACATACAGACTGGTAGCTCTTCCTTCCAGAATTCCCTGCCAGTCCTGGGGCAGACGAGTCTATGCTTAGCCCAGAACATTCCGGCATCCTAGTCTGCATCCAGAAATAGATCTGCCATGGGAATTACAGTGAGGACCAGACACAGAAAACTGAAGGGCCACAAATGGTGCCAGATCCCAAGGTTCCCCATCCCTGCCTTACCCTACGGGGGTCCACAGGCACATCTGACGACAGAAGGAACCATCTTTCTCTGCCTCTTTAATACAGTGGTACCTTGGGTTACAGATGCTTCAGGTTACAGACTCCGCTAACCCAGAAATAGTACCTCGGGTTAAGAACTTTGCTTCAGGATGAGAACAGAAATCATGCTCCGGCGGTGCGGCAGCAGCAGGAGGCCCCATTAGCTAAAGTGGTGCTTCAGGTTAAGAACAGTTTCAGGTTAAGAACAGACCTCCGGAACGAATTAAGTACTTAACCCGAGGTACCACTGTATGCACCTCTGCTGAGGAGGAATGGTGGGAGCCTCCCCCACCCCCTGCTCAGGATCTTGAATCTTCCCAGGAACAGTGGGACAGTAGATTTGGAACAGTGGTTTGCAGAGAGACATAGTTCAGGAGACCGAAGTTGGGAAGAACTGGGTGGTGAACAGCTAGGAGAAGAAGAACCGGGGGCGGGGGAGAGAGAGAGAGTTAACAGACTCGCTTTTGCTGGAAAGCATCCATCCGCTCAGCCCAAGGTCAAAGAGAGCAGATAAGGTGGCTGCTCAGAAAGTACAATGGTTGCGAGATCAGATTGCAAGATGCAGAAATGACGGTAGTGAAGTGGGTGACTAGGGGGGGAGTGGGTGGAAACCTTAATTGGGAGCACCTTCATTCCTAGAAATGGATTATTTGTTCTCTCGATGTGATCACTAAAATCTCTAACTGGTAAGAGACTCCTTTCTCTTTGTTCTGCTTATCTACTGTCAAAAGGGGGGGGGGAGGAAGACAAGTCCCTGAAACCTGACAGCACCAAGCAATGTTCAGCAGAAGAGTTGTTTCCTATCTCTTTGTGTTCAATCCCATATTTAAGGTTCAGGTCCCTTTCACTCACCGTTGACCATCCACGGTGCAAAGAGACACGCCCCAGAGCTCTGGATTGCACTTTGCTAGCTGTGGGATGTAGTTGGCCACCTAGAAAAGGGAATGAGAAATCAGCCCCAAATTAAGCAATGGGGATGGGTGTGTGTGAAGGATAGTTATCCTCATCTCAGCTATCTGCCCACCTAATGGAGGACAGCACAGGCAGCTTCCAGTGCTGTCACTCCACTGATGGAAATCAGTAGACTGAAGAGGTAGGCTAGGTAAAGGTAAAGGGACTCCTGGCCATTAGGTCCAGTTGTGACTGACTCTGGGGTTGCGGCATTCATCTCACTTTATTGGCCGAGGGAGCCGGCGTACAGCTTCCGGGTCATGTGGCCAGCATGACTAAGCCGTTTCTGGCGAACCAGAGCAGCGCACAGAAACGCTGTTTACCTTCCTGCTGGAGCGGTACCTATTTATCTACTTGCACTTTTTGGTGTGCTTTTGAACTGCTAGGTTGGCAGGAACAGGGACCGAGCAACAGGAGCTCACTCCATCGCGGGGATTCGAACCGCCGATCTTCTGATCGGCAAGCCACCTGCAGCCCCCCGTGCTACTTCCCACACTGTAGGGGATGATGGGGGCACCAGACAGGAAGGTGAATATGCCAAACTTGCCTTCTTTCCCCCTGTTTCACTGGGTGGAAGACTTTGCTGAGTCAAAAGAGCCTTTGGTCAACAGAGGGAAACACTGTCCGATAAAAACCCTGCATATATCCAGAAGCGGTCGTGTTATTCTTCGGTCCCCATTTCCCTGAGCACTAGGAAATTCCAAGGAGAAACTTTTACAGGGTGAATTTTCTTGTGAAGATGGCAAATGGGAAACTTATGACGTCTTCAGTAACATACATTCTCAACCTTGGGTTCTGGTCTTTTTAAAGCAGTCACAGTGCCCATTAAACACACACACACACACACACACACACACACACACACCAGCTTCCAACAGTTCCTTCTCTGACAGCTGCACACTTTTAATCCTCTCATTTGGTGGCTACGTTCAAAACTTACAGAACTGTTTCTTGCAGCCACTGAAAAATTTCTGGTAGCTATTAACTTAAAGGTAAAGGTAAAGGGACCCCTGACCATTAGGTCCAGTCATGACCGACTCTGGGGTTGCGGCGCTCATCTCGCTTTATTGGCCGAGGGAGCCGGCGTACAGCTTCTGGGTCATGTGGCCAGCATGACTAAGCCGCTTCTGGCGAACCAGAGCAGCGCACGGAAATGCCGTTTACCTTCTCGCCAGAGCGGTATCTATTTATCTACTTGTACTTTGACGTGCTTTCGAACTGCTAGGTTGGCAGGAGCTGGGACTGAGCAACAGGAGCTCACCCCGTTGCGGGGATTCGAACCGCCGACCTTCTGATCGGCAAGTCCTAGGCTCTGTGGTTTAACCCACAACGTCACCTGCATCCAGGTATTAACTTACCAGTCAGCAAAACCCATTATCTTCAGAACCCGAACTATCTATTGGTGGAAAGGGATGCTTTCTGATGGATGTCAATATAAACTTCAGGGAGGTGATTATTGTTAGGGAGGGGTAAACTCTCCCTGTTCAGCATAGATAATTTATTGCATCCTAGCATTCCAGAGTTGGAAGGGACCTCAAAAGTCAGCCCTGATTGACGCCCAACAGAATGACAGGTGGAAGATGATAGAGAAATTGAGGTTGCAATCTTATATTCCAGAGAGGGGGAATCTGTGGCCCTCCAGATATTGTCGGACTGCGGATCCCTTCAGCCCCAGACAGAATAGCCAACAATTGGGGACAGTGGCTCCCCATGCCGGCTATGCATGCTTACCAGGGAACTCAAAGTGACTCACTTCTAAGGAGGTACAGTCATACCTCGGGTTACAGACACTTCAGGTTGCATTTTTTGGGGGTTATGGACCAGCCGAAACCCAGAAGAAGAAGAGTTTGGATTTTATATCCCACTTTATCACTCCCCCAAGGAGTCTCAAAGCGGCTAACATTCTCCTTTCCCTTCCTCCCCCACAACAAACACTCTTTGAGGTGAGTGGGGCTGAGAGACTTCAGAGAAGTGTGACTAGCCCAAGGTCACCCAGCAGCTGCATGTGGAGGAGCGGGGAAGTGAACCCGGTTCACCAGTTTACGAGTCCACTGCTCTTAACCACTACACCACCGGAACGGGTTACTTCCAGGTTTCGGCGGACACGCATGCACAGAAGTGCTAAATCACGCTTTGCGCATGCGCAGAAGCAACAAATCGCAACCCGCACGTGCACAGACCTGCCGCTGCGGGTTGCGAACACTGCGGGTTGTGGACGTGCATCCCACATGGATCACGTTTGCAACCCGAGCGACCACTGTATATATAGGTTTGCACTGTGATTTGCTTGTATTTAGCCTCTGCCCTCATGCACTACTTGATTTTTCTACCTTGCCCTCCTGGAGTCCTTTGGCGCTTTCAAAAATTTGCTCCACATGAGACGTGAACTCCTGGAAGTCGGGGATGACAAACTTCTTCCGGAAGGCCTGGGTCAGCAGTACAATGTTGCTGCTCACACACCTGAGGACAGAAAAGACAGGTGGGGAGTTGAATTGGGAGCGGCTGAGTAATATGCCATAAGACATTAGAGGACTAGGGAATTGGGATGTTTGCTTGTAATTGAATCAACACTGCCCACCTTAACTGTCTTCTTGCCTGGATGGCAGCGGAACTAACTAGGTCAGCCTAGCAAAGGTATTCCTAGCCTTCCCTGTCTGCACCTAAGGATGTCCTACCTTCGGAAAAGTTTCCGGTTCAGCAACCCACCAGTGCTGGGTTCCTGCGCTGCCTTTTGCAGACGATTCATGCAGTCTCGAAGGCGTGGATCCGAGGTCCAAAGGCCAGTGCCTTGCAAGGCCTGAATTGAGAAGAGCACATGAAGGCGCCCTCTTGACTGGCAGGTGAAGATGACAGAATACTTGGAACTTGAGAAAATGACTGGGAGAATAAGAGGAAACTCAAACCAGAAAGTGTGTAAGGAATGCATAACATGTAAAGAATATCTAAAACAATATTGTGAAAATGAAAATCTCCTGACAGGTCTAGATTGAATCTTGAATATTAAGGGAAACTATAAATGTAGAAAATTTTCTGGCTATGTAAAAGATATAACAGGAAATGCGTAAAGGTTAAAAATACGTAGAAAGCACAATGAGGTGAATCGGAAGTCAAAAGTGTGTGTGATGTTAGATGATGTGTTGTTAGTTGATGTTTAGTTGTCATTGAGGTATTGTCTTTGTCTGTGTTGTTATAAGTAAATTGTTTTGCAATAGAGTTTTTTTTTTTTTAAATGAAGGCGCCCTCTGCCAACAACACAGATGAACACATAGCAAGAAGAGGGGATGAGAACGGGATAGAGTATTTTTATTTATTTGTTTATTTGATTCCATTTTCGAATTGCTTCCTATAAAGTATCCTGAAGAGATTGCACAGTAAAATAATAATAATAATTCAGTAATGGAAACAATGGAAAACAATACCATATATAAAAACAACAGTATATATACAAACAATTAAAAACCATTTCATGTGCAAACAAAATTTCAAATGCAATATGGACCGGAATAAACATCTCACATCTCCTGCTGTGCATACCACCAATATCTATAATATCTGCTCTTGCAGAGGGATAAAACCCCTCTTCTTATCCATTCCCATTTATTTTATTTTCTCAGTTGAGCTATTGGAAAAATGTACAAAGAAACCATTGACCTGGTCCACCGTAACTAGCCTTTTAAAATCATGTGCTTTGTATTATATCCACCTGCGATCCAGTCTTCCTTCATTAAGTTTGGTTTAGGTATAAAAATGACAAAATGTTTTAAAACTTTGTTATAGAAAACTAATAAAAATCCGGTGAAAATTAAAGGGGGGGAAAAAAGGTATCTGCTCTTGCAGTAAAGAAAACGAGACCAGCCTCCTGCTTCTATGGATTTTTTAATGGGTGCAGATGTGTAAAGCTCTGCTCACTATTTCGACAGAGGTTCTAGATGCCCGATTCCTCATGTGGTTGTAGGAAGTGGTAGAGCATCTGCTTGCAGTGCACAAGGTCCCAGATTCACTCTCAGCATCTCCAGGCAGGCCTGGGAATATGCCCCCCCCAAGTCCCACCTTTCCCACCCATCCTTTAGGACAGCTGGAAGCATCTTACACTGGTGAATTTATGAACGGAGATACATTCCTGGCCTTCAGCTACTGTGTAGAAAAGGAGGTCACTAAGGCGAGGCAGCATCCCATTTTCTGACACATCCCTGCGGAGAGACAAGAGGCCACAACAGAGAACAGGTCATGTTTCACCCCTACATAACATTCATTCATTTATTTAAAGCAGTGTTTCCTAAACTTGGGTCTCCAGCTGTTTTGGGACTGCAACTCCCATCATCCCTAGCTAGCAGGACCACTGGTCAGGGATGGTGGGAATTGTAGTCCACAAACAGCTGGAGACGCAAGTTTGGGAAACACTGATGTAAAGCATTCATGTTGCACATTTCAGGTATGGGCAACCTCTCAGGTAAGTGTACAGTTAAAAAACAAGCAGTGGCAGCAGCAGCCTGAGAATGGAACTCACAGAGAGGCAAAGGAATAGAGCAAAGGAACATATCCCTCCTGGCAAGGGTTGGTTATAGATTTCTAAAAATAAATACCGGTGATTTGAGAGCAAGACTTTTTAAAGCAGTGGTAAGGAACCTCTAGTTGTCATTACCCACACTGACAATCCAGAATGAAGCTAGAAGGGTGACTGGGAGCAGCCGCCGGGACCATATAACAGCGGTCCCAAAAGATCTAAATCAGCTCTCAGTACTTTTCCAAGCACAATTCAAAGTGCTGATGGTGACCTTTAAAGTCCTAAATGGTCTTGACCCTGTATACCTGAAGGAGATTCTCCACCCCCATTGTCCAGCCCTGACTTCGAGGTCCAGTTCCAAGGGCCTTCTGGCGGTTCCCTCTCTGTTGAGGAGTGAAATTATAGGGAACCAGACAGAAGGCCTTCTTGGTAGTTGTACCCACCCTGTGGAATGCCCTCCCGGCAGATGTCAAAGAAATAAACAACTATACGACTTTCTGAAAACATCTGAAGGCAGCCCAGTATTGGAAAATTTTCAGTGTTACGTTTTGTTGGAAGCTGCACATTTCCTCCACCTGAACTAAAAATGTGGCTGGGGACAGGTTAACCCAGTTTTTGCTATTCTGGTGCTCTCCAGATATTTTGAACTACAATCCCATCTTAGCCCTAGTGGGCTCCTTTAAAAGACTGTAGGAGTTCCTCCACTAGAGTGATACAGGGAAAAGTGCTCAGATTCTGGACAAATAATTTAAACCCCCCAAAACAAATCACTTGTAGAGGTTTTCATAATCACATAGACACTGGCAGTGGGGGCTATGCCACTACCACAATCCCCCCGCCTCCTATTTCCTGTGTTTTCTTCCATGTTGAATGCAATTCTACTCTTTTATGAGTATGCTTCAAACGGCAGCCAGCATTTCTGCAGGGAGCAAATACTTTTAGCACTTTAGGTGTTTCATGCTGGGCGGAAATAATTGGCATCAAAAATAAGAGAGCACGGAAATGACAAAAGCCGTATGTCTGGAAGTCTGACAACCTGGCTTCTTTTCTCTGCCTCTGGACGGGCAGACGTGTCCCTTCAGTGTGCAAGGCTTGGCAGTGCATGAAGTCCTAAGTGCGTCACAATTCCAGAATCGCATCGATCGTGACACCCCGGGTTTTCTATTTTCCCCACACCACCTTAAGTTTAACAGCTCTCCTAAGAATGGCAGCATTTGTCAGCTGGTCATTCTGCAAAGAAACATACAAGCAAAGTGGGGCTGGATAATTTCTGCCAGGATATCAGCTGGGCTGGGTATCTGAGTGCGGAAAGTTTGCTAGCGTCAAACAAAAGGTTGCATTGTAGAGGAGTCAATTCATTAATGCGGGTGTGTGTGTGTGTGTGTGTGAACCTGCACTACCTCCAGATGTTGATGAACTACAACTCCCAACATCTCTAGCCACTGGCCATGCCGGTTGGAGCTGATGAGACGTGGAAGTCATAGAATCATAGAACTGAAGAATTGGAAGGGACCCTGACGGTCATCTAGTCCAACCCGCTACAATGCAGGAATCTCAACACATGGTTTCCCCAACCAATTTGGAACCATACCGGACCCTTCTTAGCTTTGCAAATGTGCTAGCCGTTTTATTGCTGCACCACTACTCTCCATGCCCAGTCCATCAACATCTGGAGGACACTAGAGTCCCTTAATTCAATCCTGCACCCAGTTCCTGCTTAACAAAATCTACACAGTTCCTGGATGGGCAAAACAAAATACGCCCCCCCACACACACTTTGACATCACCTATGCACACACCCCTCCACCACAGTGATACGACACATGGCCCATGCATCCCTTACTGGTCCGTCAGCTGCTGGTGTTGCTGGTGACGCCCGTTCACCATCGCTGCCTCTCTGCCTTGAGCCGAGGCCGAGGAGCCGGCTCTGCCAATGCCCAAGGGAGGGCAGCGTCCCGTCCCTCTCTTCCATCGGATCACAGGAGGCTGCAGCACTCCTGGAAAGACCCTGATGGAGCGCATGGCGGCAGCAAGAAGTCGCAGGGGCTTGAGAGCGTCTGATGCCACGAGGAAGCGGCAGCAAGAAGACCCAGGGGTGGTGCTGGTGGGGGGGGGGCAGGAGGGAGTGACAAGGAGCTCGCCTTCTGGCCCTTTAAAAAGGAAAGCATCAAGCACGGGGCGGGGGAGGGAGAGGGATGGGCAGCGGCTCCAGCCTATCAGCGACAAATAAATAAACGCAACGCGCCAATGAGGGAGGGAAGATCTTTGTGCGCTTTCCCAGACTCCAGGTGAGTCATAGCGCGATGCTCACAGGTTGTTAGAGATGCAGCTCCCACCCCGCAGCCTTTAGGCACTGAGTGAATAGGAAGCAAGCAGCACCGCCGACCCTGGACTGTGAAAGTGACTGACATCGGCTGGCATCATCACCAACTCTTTTTCAGAAGCATCATGGGTTTTCGTTTTAGTTTAATAATCGAGGCTTGGATCACGGTTTGCTCACGCCGCTTGTGTGTGCAAGGCGCATATAATCATAATATCATGTACCATATCAGGCACGTCCATCTCCCAAGAGACTGCGATCTACCTACAGTGTAAAAATACTGGCTGTGTGGAAGAAATTTAAAGACTATCTGAATAAATACTGTAATATTAAAGATATGTAATCACTTGGAAGAATTAATTAGGCCTAGGATTACATTGGGATTAAACATATAAATAAGAAAATGTACGATAAGAAAAGTTAGGAAATATGATTATAACTGTGATATGGTTTTATGAAATAATGATATTGGAAACTGCTATATATAATTACTAAGAAATTCAGATGGAAGAGATTTGAGGAAGTCAAATAATATGTCTACGAAAATGGATCTTAATTAGGTGTTAGTGTAGTGATGATTTGTTGTATTTTATGTTTTATATTCTTTTTTCTTTTTCTTTTTTTCGGTTTCATTCTTTCTCCTTTATTGTCAACTTTTTCTTTTGTTATGTCTATGTATGGAAAATAATAAATATTATTGTGAAAAAAAATAATACTGGTCTACCCATTGTCACTGTCAGGAGTTGCTGAGCTTTTTTTAGAGGAGGGTTGGCAAAATTTGTCAAGTTTTTTTTTGGGGGGGAGGGTTGGCAAAAGGAACACTAAGGCGATCCCGATCGACCTGGGACACATCCAGGATCGACCAGTAGATCGTGATCAACCTGTTGGACATGCCTGATATGTATCATAAATATAATATATCCTATATCATATAATATAGAAGAACTTTCTTTGTGGGATTTCTGGCTTCCACAGTCACAATTTAGCATGTGCTAAATTCTTCTAAGGAGAGATAATTTCGTCCAGGTATGGAGTTTAGGTTCTCCGGTTTAGGGAACGTTGGAGAAGCATGCGCTCTCAGTTGTTGTACTGGGATAAGGCCCGGTATTTCTCTGCCACTTTCCAGCAAAGTATGTGTTAACGATTTCCTAGAAACTAAAACCATTTCTCTCTTTATTTTGGAAGAGAAAGGAGGCCAGCACAAAGGGGAAGGAAATAATTGTTTCCAATTTCCTATCATTTAGCAGAGGAGCCAGACTGGGCTTGCACCATGGCTGGCTTTCTTTCTTAGGTCTGTGTTATAAGCACACCGGATTTTTAGCACGTACACTCGAAAACCATGGTCTGCAAGCAAGACAAACCTGCATTTTTGAAAAATGCATATATGGGTAGAAAAGTCAAGACCATAAAATTCCTATCACAGTATATCCACAAGTATGTGTTTGTGTGCAGGCAAGAAACATTAGGGTGCAGTTCCTCCTTTAAAAACACATCTTTTAAAAAAGCACATGACTGTTGGTTCTAGTGGAAATCTCTTTAATGTGCTTGAACTGAAAAGGATTTGTGGATTTAAGATTGTGGATCCCAACTTAAATTGGTTTAGAGGGCCTGTTTAGAGAACGTGCTTCAGTTGATTTACCTGGCCGACAATGAAGCCCAAAGAGAATTGTTGTTTGGGGAGGCTCTCTAAAGACTACTGTGTAAGGAAACAATCACGCTTTGTAACTGCCATTCAGAAATTCAGGCTACTTACCTGAGTGTAATCCCTGCTGACCTCAATGGGGCTTGTTTTAGGTTAGCCCTGTCACCATGTTCCTGTTGGCATTCAGAAGGAACCAATGCATTTCAATAGTAAAAAGGTACGGTAAAAAGGACCCCTGGACGGTTAAGTCCAGTCAAAGGCGACTATGGGTTTGCGGCGTTCATCTCGCTTTCAGGCTGAGGGAGCCGGCGTTTGTCCACAGACAGCTTTCTGGGTCACGTGGCCAGCAGGACTAAACCACTTCTGGCACAACGGAATACTGTGATGGAAACCAGAATACACTGAAACACCATTTACTTTCCCGCCACAGCAGTACCTATTGATCTACTTGCACTGGTGTGCTTTCAAGCTGCTAGGTTGGTAGGAGCTGGGACAGAGCAACGGGAGCTCACCCCGTCACGGGGATTCGACCCACCAACCTTCCGATCGGCAAGCCCAAGAGGCTCGGTGGCTTAGACCACAGTGCCACCTGTGTCCCTGTATTTCAATAGTAGTAATCTTTCAGTATATACAGATATGCTCCTAAAGGTTGAAGAGATGGCCTATATATATAAATAAAGTTGCTAACAAGCACAATATGAGAGGATTACCCACACAGGTTTGCCACCCCTAATTTGGGTAACAATTTCCAACTCAGTGTTGTGCAATTTAGTTGACATGCAAGAGACGAGGCATCTAGGATCAAACGCCCTTGGCACATAGCAAAGAAAATACAAATTCAAAAACACCATCCTGAATGCTGTTCCCACTTTACAGATTAGGAAGTGGGGGGCAGCAGGGACAGAATATTTGCTTATTGTCATTGCAATTGGTGTTATTATGCAGGGGTTTATATGTGCTGGAACTGGAGTCCAGTCTCCAAGCTCACGCTTATCTACTCAAAGGGAGATTTCTCGAAGACTGGCTTTATCCTAACTTTTCCTTCCTTCAGTCCCACGAAGGCTGCAGTACTATCTACACACACAGCCCAGTCCTGTGCAGGGTTTAATGCCATTTAAATCAATGGGTTTAGGAGCAGCTAACTTTGCATAGGATTGGGCTGTTCATTCAAATTCAGCCCTGTTATTAGGGGTTGCTTCAGAATAAACATCCATAGGCTGCAAGAGAGAGTTCTGATCTAGGTGCTGGAAACACCTCTTTCATTCCTTCTTCTTGACTAGTTCAGAGCTGCTGTATTATATATATTTTACACAGCACAAAAGTATAGGTAATTTGGTCCTGGAGCTATGCTTAGGCAACCCTCTAGGTGGCAGTAGTTTTCCTGCTTACCAATAGTGTCAACATTTTTGCAGGCCTTTGAAAAAGAGAATTCTCCGGTGAATAATGATTTTGCACAATAGTTCATGCAGGAGTTCATAATTCTAAGGACAGGGTGGAATATAATAATGTTTTGTAGACACTTGCAATATTTTGCAGACATTCCCTTATGTCCAAGAGTCTCATGAGAACTAGAAACTTAATCAATCAATCAATGATCCTTGGTGTCAATAAATTTTGAACTTGATTTGATTGTAGTATTTATATCTCACCTTTTCCTCAGAGGATCTCATAGCTCTCCCCCCCCTCATTTAATCCTCACAATAACCCTGTGAGGTAAGTTGGGCCAAGAGACAGTGATTGTCCCAAGGTCTCCCAGTGAGCTTCATTCAAACTCTGAAATAATGTGCTTCCAAAATACTGCATCTGTGGTGACAGTTCTGTGCATGGTTACCCCTGAGGAAGACCTATCGAATACAGTGGTGCTCAGGATCAGGCCTGGCTATGTTTCAGAGCCACTCTGGGATCAATTACCTGACCTCTGCCCATGGATCCCTCCCAGATAGGTGCTTTTTAAAATTTTAAGCATTGGAAACTCTGCTTCTAGGATCTAAGTCATGCAAAGGCACTCAAGCATTTGGGCCTGGCATTAATTTAAAATTTTTGAACGTGTCTTACGTTTTAATTTTAAAAATAATTTTCATGTTCAAATGCATTAGGCTACCAGAATATCTGAGGCCATTGCACGCAGAAAGTTCCATTCTTAGTCCCCTGTTGTTGTTTAGTCGTTTAGTCGTGTCCGACTTTTCGTGACCCCATGGACCAGAGCACGCCAAGCACTCCTGTCTTCCACTGCCTCCCACAGTTTGGTCAAACTCATGCTGGTAGCTTCGAGAACACTGTCCAACCATCTCACCCTCTGTCGTCCCCTTCTCCTTGTGCCCTCCATCTTTCCCAACATCAGGGTCTTTTCCAGGGAGTCTTCTCTTCTCTTGAGGTGGCCAAAGTACTGGAGCCTCAGCTTCAGGATCTGTCCTTCCAGTGAGCACTCAGGGCTGATTTCCTTCAGAATGGATAGGTTTGATCTTCTTGCAGTTCATGGGACTCTCCAGCACCATAATTCAAAAGCATCAATTCTTTGGCGATCAGCCTTCTTTATGGTCCAGCTCTCACTTCCATACATCACTACGGGGAAAACCATAGCTTTTACTATACGGACCTTTGTCGGCAAGGTGATGCTTTTTAAGATGCTGTCTAGGTTTGTCATTGCTTTTCTCCCAAGAAGCAGGTGTCTTTTAATTTCGTGGCTGCTGTCACCATCTGCAGTGATCATGGAGCCCAAGAAAGTAAAATCTCTCACTGCCTCCATTTCTTCCCCTTCTATTTGCCAGGAGGTGATGGGACCAGTGGTCTCCTGAACCTCCTGTTAAAAAGGTGATCAGGTAAGACAATAATAATAATAATAATAATAATAATAATAATAATAATAATTTTTATTTATACCCCGCCCTCCCCAGCCAAGGCCGGGCTCAGAGCGGCTTACAAGCAATAATAAAAACAAGTTGAATGATTACAACTTAAAAACAAAATTAAAATACAACATTAAAATATTGAAACATTAAAATATTAAAATGTAGCCTCATCACAGGAGGGGAAGGAAAAGAAAAAAGAAAGAGAGGGAGGGAATCAAATTGGCTCCAAGTCAAAGGCCAGGCGGAACAACTCTGCCTTACAGACCCTGCGGAAATAAATCAGATCAAATGATTTGAAACACCTGTGCCTGATTCTCTGAAGAGTTTCTGTC